AAGAGCACAGCATGAAAAACCCCACGGACCAGGGTCTTTTAACACAGCCTTGGGACAACGGCAATATCCAAGTTTCTACTTCTGTAAAAACACTCAAGTGGAGGTTCAGGGGGGAATGTTTGAAGTTGCACAGTATCTCAGCCTATGCAAACTTATATCTGCAAGTATCACATTTAGTCTACATTGCACCAGTCCTCAGAGCAGACAAACTTCATCGGTAACGTTATTAATACAGATTATTTTAGCATTAGCAAAAGATTGAGGAAAAAAAAAGACCTCCCTTCTAAAACTACAGGTAAAAAGCCCACAGCAGCTCCAAACAGCAGGGACACCCATGATATCTTAGCAGGCTTTCAGACAATGGTCTAATTCCTCTTCTCAGCATTAAACTCATTTAAGGGATGTAATTCTGCCACAGCCCTGACAAATAACCCCAAAGGCAAACCCAGATAATGAGATTCTGTAGATTAAGTCGGTCTCACTCCAGGTTTCTCATGATGAAGACCAAGTAAAATCCTCTTGGAATCCTCCTTTACTTCAGAAGGCAGAGGAGGTGAGTCACTGTTACCCCCATAACAACACATGGTGAGAGTGGGGGTAGCACTCGATACCCAGATAGGAAAGCACCGGTCTCACTGTGTGTTTTCAGCCAGACCCATCTCTACACCAAGCCTTGCTGCACATGGAAAAACATAGGGAATTCTGAAGCCTGAGAGGGGTGGGCACTCACCTCTCATGGAAGTGCAGCCAGAGGCTCCATGACACACTTGGAAAACACAAGCCAAGCGAGAGGACTAAAGGCACTGCTTTCCCACTGCAAGGCTGCAGGACCGTGCAGAGCTGAACTGGGATTTGTCAGGCAAATCCCAACCCACAATCAGTCTTAGTTTGCCTTCCAATTCATGTGTACCTAAAGATCTCACCTATCTGGGGGAAAAAAAAGCCCAACTTGAGCAGCGAATGCTCAGTTTTCACCTTGAGTAATGTGGTTGTTTCAGGACAGACTCATTCCTTCTTGGGAACACAAGTGGGATCCTTCCCCGGTGTCCTGGCCCCAGGAATCCTTCCCTTATTCCTCTGCACGCCCAGTGTCAACAGGCAGGGCTAGAAGACACTCTCATTTCGCTTTGTGGGCTTTTAGGAAAAGAAATTAACTGCTAAAAATTCAGAGCAAGCTTAAGGATAGCACCAAGAACCAAGAGGCAAAGCTAAAAACCTGGAAGCGACATTCCAAGGTGACAAAAGGGAAGTCACATCTGCCCAGCAAAGTTTGCAGCTATTTCTGTGTGGCTTTGCTTAAGCTAAAGGATGGCTGAATTCACATGTTTATCCTGGCTTTGGCTCTTCAGCCAAGTTTCCTATTTCCACGGGAGGAGCTCCTGGAATTTCAACTTGAACTCCCGAGGGTTGTCTCTGATGTAAGAAGGGCTCAGCAATTGGTTAGTGTCCACTGGCATATATTCCCAAGAAAATGTTAGTAGTATTTTTCTAATCCTGTGTGTTCCTTTTGAGAAATATTTCAGCTGAAACTGTTGCACTAAAAATCAAAAGTAAGTTTAAAATTGAGGTACAGGTCACCTCTATTTAATTTTTAACTATAATTTTACAAACATCTCAATACAATGAAGATGCTGCCAACATTTGCTAAAAAATGATTAATTTTCTTTGCCTGTTTTTCTTCTTTTGCCTCTTTTTTTCCTTCCAGGGCAGAATTACTGTGCTGCCACGAGCCTCCACTTAACCACGGACCAGAAAAGCAATTTAATTGGGGAGTTTAATTCTACCTCGTACACTCCAAGTGCAAATATTTATTTAAACACGTGGGTAACTCTAAACAGAGCCAGACAAGTGAAGAAAGCTACTTAGGTTAAAATATCTGCCAGATGAAGCTTTTAGGCTGTGTCTCCACCACACTCAGAGCGCTGTGTGGAAAAGCCCAAGCTGGAGCTGGTGGAAGACAAGCCAATTAAGGTTTGTCTTATGGGCTTTGCCACTGTAACCAGATTATTTCTGGGATTCACTGGTGTGCTGATTGTGCTTTGTTTCTTAGCTGCTAACAGCTGGACAGGACTTAAATCTATCAGTTCTTTAAAAACTACATTATTTAGAAGTTTGGGCTTATTAAGAGATGCAGTAATGTGTCTGTAAGTGCCACAATCATCTGCAGGCTGTGCCAATTAAATATGTATTGATTGATAGATCTAAACTCCCATAAATCTGTGCAGAGGAACAACAAACCAAAACAATACAGCCTGTGTGTAGGGAGGATTTATAGCCAGCCCATTTTTGCTAACTAGAACTTCAGTTTTACCAGTCACCTTGCAGTTATTCTTAATATTGATCTTGGCCACACTGAAGGCAAAGATTCTCACTGACTGCAATGGAGTCAGGTTTGAACTCAGGTTTTGCTTCTGTAAATCAATTAAAACATTAAAGTTCACTTGGGAACCACTAACGATCCAATAAATTCTGGTCTTTTTCTCACTGGAGCTCAACTTTCAGAAGGAACAAAAGCTCCATCTCCATTCCAGCTATTTGAAGGCTTGGGAGACATTTCCCAAGCTGTTTAATGGCAGGTTGTCGAAGTCCCTAAAGTGCCACATCCAGAGATGTCTAACAGACTGAATTAGGACTACTGGAACAAGTTAGAAGTTCTGTCCCAGGAAAAGCTTCCTGTCATAAAAATGGACATAACTGGACTCGCATCTGCCAGATTCCTTATCCTAAAAATACCTGAACAACTTTGTATTTGAGTGGGACAGTTGCCAAGACTGGAAGTGTCTCAACTCCTAATTTGAAAGACTTGTTCCCTGTAAGAATCATAGAATGGTTTGGGCTGGAAGGTACCTTAAAAATCATCCAGTTCCACCCCCCTTCCACTTTCCACTGTCCCAGGTTGCTCAGAGCCCCATCCAACCTGACCTTGGACACTGCCAGGGATGGGGCAGCCACAGCTTCTCTGGGCAACCTGTGCCAGGGCCTGCCCACCCTCCCAGGGAAGGATTTCTCCCTGATATCCAATCTGCACCTCCTCTCTGTCAGTGTGAAGCCATTCCCCATGTCCTGCCACTGCAGCTCCTGACAGGTCATTCCAGCAGCACAAGCTCTGCTCAGCACTGTCCCACCTCCTTCCAGACTGATAAGGTTGAAGCTTCAAATTGTGTTTAGATAATCCAGGGAACCCCAAATCAACAGGTTTGCAGTGGGTTTGACTATTCAGTGACTGCCTGAGAAGGGAGCAGTTGCACACTGGCTCTAAGCAGGAAAATGATCCACTTGGAGGTATTTTCCCCTCAGGCTGCCGTCAGGAATCCTGAAACACCAGCCAAGTGACCATGATAAGAAAGCTTACCAGAATTAGTAAATATTTGGGTTAAATGCAGCAAAGATGAAGAGAGAGAACAAACAGTCTGTGTTCCTGTGCTTTAGCCCAAAGGAGCTGAGGGAAGCAGCATTCCACAAGCATCTTTGCTGGCAGCATGGCATAGAACTGGAGATTATTTATATAACTAATTGTCCTGACTCTGTGTGTGTTCCTTTTTTGGGGGGTGAAAAATGTGTATTTCCCCTGCAGCTCTCTCTGGAGTTGCACTCCATTTGATTTTTCTGTTTCTCTGCAAACTCCCATAGCACATTTCCCATGGCTCCCTAGCAAAGCAAATGGAAGAACCCTGGAATAACAACCTCTGATTCTTCAGATACATAACACGTGTTTTTGCACTCCAAACTTCAAGTTCCTGACAGAACTTGGACACAAAATATATAAAAAAATACCACAGTAAACTAAATACATGGTTATTTGGGAGTTTCTTCTTCTCCCTCTCCCACCTTTTTTTTTCTTTAAGAGATTTATCATGTCTTCAACGATAATAAAAACATTATCTGCTACTGCAACTGTTTTTGCAGGAAAAATAAAGAGTATTCTTAAAGATCCAGTAAATCAAAATTAATTGTATAAATCAAAGTTTTCTGCTCACCTTACAGCCCCTTCTAGAAAAACAAGCATATACTTCATTGTTACCCATGAACATTAACCAGGGAGCCCATTAATTTCGTGACTTTCCCACGTGCCAAAGTTCCCTGAGTGTTCTGGGGCACGGCAGTGATGTTGGGTCACGTACACTCGGAATCTGCAAATTCCAGGGAAGAAAACAAACTCACCTCCCAGACAGGCTCAGCACCGTGAGAGCAGCAGCCAGGGGAGAGCTTGGCCACAAAACTCCTTGTGATTTCCAAAGACTGTTGTGATTATTTGCAGAGGTTTTGATATGAAAACAAATGAAGGATTAAAAAAAAAAAGTATGTGAACTTATCCTTTAATAGATCAGGCAGCAGTTCCACAGGCCCAGAGGATGTGCACCAGTAAAACTGGCTGCTCCCAAAGGATGTATTTCCCCAGCTCATTCACCGCTCCAGTTGGGTTTTTTCCTGCATCTGCTACTCTGAAACATCATTTTGTATCTGTTAACCTGCAGGTTCCTATAACCTCAAGCATCTGGTAACATTCCGAAAGGAATTCTCTCCTGTTTTCCTGTCAACACAGGAACTGGTTGGCCAGATAATAAGCTGCTTGTGTCAGAACTCGTCTCCCATCGAGATTTTTTAATCTTTGATTCCTTCTGTCCTCGGACACAAATCTCAATCCAACCCTGGTAACTGAGCAGGCTTTAAGAGCCTGTTGACACCTGCTTTATCACTCACCACACCTTCCTGCCACACCATTCCCTAAGGATGGTTTCCATGTGCTCAACAGCCTCTCCCAGGTCCAGCCTGCAGGCTCCTCCTCTCCAGAGCCAGCCCGATTAAACTGCAACATCAGGGGGGTTTAGTTCCTAAAAAATGCACAGCAGTTGGGATCACAAGGTTACCCTGGCTGGGGTACCAAAATCCACGTTAGTTCAGTCTTCCCGGGTATATTTTTAGGGAAGTAGCCTGAGATCTGACAGGAGGAGTATGTGGTATTTCAGGATTAGATAGAAGTGTTAGCAGAGTAACAGCAGTGCATCAAAATAACATTTATTGACCTGCTTTAAGCACATCCTCTGATCACCTGTAACCAAAGAACACACTGTCCATGTCTTACCAAACTGTGTTGTTATACAAACAGAAACAAGCACAGACTTTCTCGGCTGTATTCCAAAATATCTATTCATTTCACCATAAATATTTACAAAGGGACACTTTTTCTTGTAAAGGTCTCTCTGAGCCAGAAAAATTCACAAAGAGCAAAGGGAGAATAATGGAGGAAATGAATCCAGAGCCACAATGTTGATCATTGACTGCAAAAGGAAGTTACAGTTGTGGTTTTATTTTTTCAGGGAAAGCCAGGAATCCCAAAATAATGGTTTGACTAAAGACACTTACATAATCTTGTAAAAAAACTAATATGCTCCTTCAGTAACAACAGCTGCCCCTTTTTAAACTAATCCAGTTAAAAAAATCCCTATGTAAAGTCTGTATAATTTTAAGTTATTTAAGTAGTCACTTACCTATTAACTACTGTATTTCTTGCTTTATTTCGCATTTATTTCTAGTATAGAAAAAAGAAAATGCATTTCACAATGGCAAAATCTGAAATTCTCAAATTTCCTTTATGCCAATAGGTTTCTCTCAGTTCTTAGAAAGTGCCTGTTTCTTTTGCTCACTTTGCCCAAAATTCATTTTGTGTGAAAAAAAAAACCACCAAAAAACAAATAGAAAAGTTCATTTGAATAAAGCCAGAGAACTGATCATTTTGGCCCCAAGTCTGTTAAAAAAAAAAAAAAGCAAAATCAACCCAACCAATCTGGACATTACCAAAAAACAATTCCTCCTGTGCCAAAAAAAGTCATATCTATAAGATATAAAGCTGCCCTGTCAAGCAACAAGGAGCCAGTTCAAGTGGTGGTTAACCCAGCAGGACAAGGGGGACATCTAGTGTTTACCACATCCATGTGCTCCCAAAAATCCCTGGAACGGGCTGTCCTGGGGTGGTAAATGCCATGGAGCTCGTGGTGGTACCTGTGTTTCAATGTCTCTGCTAAAAGGTGCACATCTCAAATATCTCCAAACGCTTTCCTTTCATGACCTGAATGTAAAAAAAACAACCAAGAAAACAGGAAAAAACTATGATAAAATTTGTCTAAGCCTTTAACACCAGAGATAGAAAGATCCTCCTCATCTATCAATGCTCTATTGTTCTGATCAAAGCTATAAAGTGCCACGCTCTTGAGTCATTGGCTGTAACTGGGATCCCCCCCTTGCAAAAGCTGCCCCCAAAGGCTCCTCCTGCATGGCACTGACTTCCAGACAGGGCTGGATTACAGAGGTTTGCTAAAGTCACAGACTCAAGCAACAGAAAGTTCTCCTTACCTTCAAAAACATAACAAAAGAGGCTTCAGAATTTAACATTTCTTTCACTAACAGACAGTGCAAGTCTCACTCTGGAGCCAAGACAGTCTGCCCAGACTTCCTCTAGTTAGGAAATAACCTGGGACAAGAGTAAAGTGCTTTATTACAGTTACGGCACTGTCTGTCTCAGGTTCTCTGCACTCACAATGCATTAAAAACAATACAAAACAGTAATTTAAAAGTTTGGTGCTCTTTTTCTCATACCCTTCTCGTGTTGGTTACTGGGAAAATGACTGTTTTTCTCAAACCATTCTCTCCTCTTTGTTCTGGGGTTCCAGCTCCAACCTTTGTTCCCAGATCTGTATTCTTTATTTTCACTTTTGACTGCAAAAATTGCCCTGCTGAGAAGGGCAAGGAACCACAAACTGCATCACTGGAGAATCACAACACCTTATTTTACAGCTCTAGTGTGTGCAAATCATCATTTCCATGAAATTTAATAGTTACAAATATCCTCAAACCATACAAGTACAGTAGGTTCTACAGAAGGTAACACGGATAACCAATATTCTACTGCTTGAAACGAACCCAATAAATAAAAGTTTGAGTATTAAAACTAAGAAATAAAGTCTTCCTGTACATTGTACAGTACCTTTTGGTTAAAGCTTCTTAGCAAAAATATACTAATGTGTTCTAAGCATTCCAGTTACAGGTGGTTCAATATTAAAATTTCAAGGTTTCCTCATCTTGAGAAAAAAAAAAAATATTGCATTTTTCCAGAGGTGCAGCAGAAGTTGTGTCTCTCTGAACAAGGCTTCAGTCTTTAAAATATATATATATATATATATATATAGACAGTAAGTTTGAATCCAACTGAGACATTAAAAAAACCTACAATACAGTACTGAGGATGTGTGGTTGTTGTGCATTACGGGTTTTACATTCCTTCTCATCCCGAAAAAGCAGCTCTAGAGAGCCCACTGGATGTCACTGAGGTCAGCTGGGTCCCCAAGGCCTCCATCAGCCTCCAGGTAATTCATGAGAGCTGTCATGGCAGTGTCATCATTTTCACATATTGCATCAAAGTCCAGCTGGGAATTCCCACCTGGAAAAGGGATTATAACATCAGCAGGAGGAACCACCAAGAACTCCAAAACATACCTGGTTTTAAACAGCACCTAAATTGGCCTCCTTTTAGTCCAAAACCAATGAACCCTGTTCCTGATGCTGGGTGGGTTTTGTACAAACTTATCAAGGAGAAATGAAATAAAAGGTCCCCAAATATCCCCAGGGAAATCAATCTTACTGAGGAGAGGCTCATTGCTGGGAAATGGAATAGCACCCCGGGCTTGTTCGGAATTCTCCAGAACTTCTGTCTCTGAAGGACATAACTGGATCAGCTCTTTGTTTGGCACCTGGAAGAACACAAGGAGTGCAAAGGACTGAATTAAATCCTAAATTTAGTCAGTTATTACATGGCAGGAACACTGCCAGGTTATGAAGAGCTGAATAGAGGAAGTGAAAGCCAGCCAGATATTCTGCATTTAGGAATAACTTCCACGTCCACCATAAACTACAAACTCCCAGTGACTGGTTTGTCAACATCAAAACATTCCAGGCAAAAGATGAAAAAACCCCAGCTCATACCTACCGTGCTCTGTGTGCATTAAACCACATTAATCATAGCAACACTTGAGACGAAAATCATCCTAACCCAAACAAATCAGAAAAAAAATAGTACTTTTTACTTCCTCCCCCCATTTTTTTAATGTAACACACACATGAGATTTAGCAGAAGAGTTTCTTGGATTGCTTGACTTCCACCAGGGAATTAATAGAGTTGAAGTGCTTTCCAAAAGTATTCTGGGAACAAATGGGACACCAAAGCCCAGAACAAAGCAAACCCCTCAATGAATACAGTGAAATTATCCTCGTGATGAGATGCTGCATGATTTGGAGATCAGTGTGTACAAATCAGCCAATATTTGGCAGAGAAAGCTGTGGTAACACAGGGGAGAACTTTAACAAGAAAAGGGAGGAAGCCAAAACGATCCAGAGCAGAGTTGTTAGGAAATGAAAACTGCAAAGGGACGATAAACTGCCTTTAAATGGAAGGAAATGTACCTTCCAAAAGTGCTGATGGAGAGGTAAATGTTGATTCACACAGTGCACACAATACAACAGACAATACAGTTAGGTTAAAACATACGTTAATTATTCCACAGCTATGGTTGCTAAGTACAATAAAGTTGTTAGTGTGTGTAGCACCACAAAATTAGCAAAACAGCATTGTCCTATCCATTTTTAGACTACTGAAATACCTTCAAAGTCACAATTTTAAACATTTCCAAACAGCATAGTTTTTTTTAAAGGGTCTTCAAGAATTTTAAGATTAAAACTACAAGGGACAGAAAGCCAGCACTGCTGTTCAGGCTGTCAGACTGAGCAGGTGACTGATGTTAAGCCCAGATTTCAGGTTCTGCCAGGCAGTTCTATACTCACATCGCTGCAGTTCACAGGTAAAGCTGGAGAAGGGGACTTTCTCAGGAGGTGTGATGGGCTCAGCTCCCCTGATGGTGAGGAATGCAACCTAAAATACATACATTGAGCTGATTTACCAGGTCCCATCAATCAAAGCCCTTGTGTTGCAGAAGCCAGCAGAGCTCCCCAGTGGTGAAGCTCTGCTCAGGTAACTGGAAACAAGTAGGTCTTAAATTCTGACTGATGCTCAGACAACTGATGGGATGATGTTTCCATCACCCTAAATTTGACCTTAACAAGACCTTAACCTTCTGATGAAGCCTCAATTCCTGGAAGAGCTGGGACTGGAGACAGCTTTGCATTGAGGGACAACACAGGCTATGGAAATGTTCCACTGGGAAGTGTTTCAAGGCGAGTTTTCCTACCAGAAAAAACACTAACACGACTCACAGACAACTCATTTCCCCTTCCCAAGTGGTTTATCTGCCCATTTCACCACCATGGGAAGCAGCTACACCACAGTAACACTTTGCCAAGTCCCAGTCAAATAATCCTTTCCTCAAAGAAAATGGCACGGCCAGAACAAAACTACTTACCCCCAGCAGGGGTGTGTTCTGCAGCTGTTCCATTCCATCAGAACTGCTACCTCCCAGTGCCACTGCTCAGCCCCCAAATATTGGATACACCTCATGAAAATGGAACCACATAGCACATAAACCTCTTCCCCACCCAGTGACGATGCTGAGCCTTTCTTACCTTTGCAACTCTAAGATTTCATTTGCAATTTCGGTTCCTATGCTCCCAGCACCGAGGACTGTTCCAGAGGACATTCCAGGTACACTTACTAAAGACTGTTTTACAGCATCTAGAGGTTAAAAAAACAAACAACCAACACTTTGAATCTGTAGCAGTTTAATTGCACAGCAAGGGTTCATTTTAAAGCGGTTTTGGTTCTGTATCTCTTATTTTCAGAAATTAAATTCTTGAGAATTGGTGGGGGAGGGCGCTGTGAGCCTCATTTGCAATATAAAGGCAAGTGAGTTTGTGAAAGCTGCTGCTCTCCAGTAGTGACATTGGCTTTAATCACTGCCACCTCCAGTCTCTCTCCCAGACAATGCAAAGCACTGTGGCAAAAAATTATTAACAAAATGTGTATCTATGAGTACTGCCCTGCATTCACCAGGTGAACTCAGAGCACAACTACATTTCCTTAGAAGAGTGGTTAAAATATGAATAGATTCTGTGCCAGAAGCATAATATCCTATCAAACAAAATCCTTGCTACAACAGAGGCTGCTACAAATTACAAATACGCTGCTGTTTACAGTTCTGTGAATGACATGAATTAGGATGCTGTAAGTAGCTAGAAACTGTCACCAGAACTAGCTTTAAAAAAAAAATTAATTCTTCCTTGTACACAGTCTGGAGAAAAAAAAATCCTGGAGAGAATAAATCTGGAGTGAGTGGTCAGGAGAAGCATCTCTGGTAACTGTAAGAAGCAACACTTGCCTTCTGCAGGCTGGGAACTGTAGAGAACCTCTTCTTCAGCTGACTCCTTGTGACCTCTGAGATTTAAATATATTAAAAAAACAAACCACAAAAACAATCAGTTCATTTTTCAAGGGCAAAATCCAGCATGTTTAGGTTTGATGTCAAAATTACCTCACAGAGAATAAAAACTGACATCCTCAAAGCAGTAAAAAGGAGAGATTCCCCCCCCAGGTTTCAATGTTCAATCCTCTGCACTGGTTCTGGGTGAAATGTTCATTCCCACTTATCCTCCAGATCAAAAAGAAAGCCAAGATGGTTGTCTGTGCTCCATGGTAAGAGAACAAGGCTGTGAATTGAATTCTCTGAGGGAGGGCAGGTAACCAGGAACAAGTGCTACAAGGACAGGTCAGTGGTTGCCTCCCTTCCATTCACTTTATTTCCATTATAATCCTCCCTGTCCCCCAGCATCACTGGAACAATCCAAATTATTGCTCCATTGCAAGGAGAATGAAAAAGAATAAAAAAGAATGAAAAGTAAAAAAAGAAAAAAGAATTGAACACATCTATTTATTGTCCCACAGGCTGTCACTTTGGAGAGTATCCACCAATTATTCTTCTCCACCTCCTGACACCTGGTAGGTGGGGGAGTCCTTAAAATTGGGTCAACTGACACATGAAGTCTTGTAAAGGCAAGGAGGAAAAGCAGAATTAACTTGACATGTCCATTTACTCGTATCTCCCTTTCTTAAAAGATCCTTCCTTTCCCTCCTCTAAGAAGAAATTCTTCCCCTTCATTTTTTCCCACCAGGAAACAGCACAGTTTTCAAACTCAGACCCCTGACTTAGGGCTGAAATAAAAACAGCTGGTAAAGGCCAAAAAAAGGTTTGTCCAGGTTACTCAGCCCCTTTTGGTGTTGGCATTTTCCAGCCTTGTCCTGCTTCTTAAACAGGCTGCTTTCTGCTAAATGCTAATTGTAATTAAGACAAAAAAAAAAAATAACACGGAGATTGCTAGGAATTACTTACAATACCACCGTGTTGTTTGACACAATGTACTCCAGCTCTTTGGTCCATGGATTCATGAAACTAAACCACTGACTCTTCAAAGTGACAAAAGTGCCATCTTTTGCTCTAAATTTGTAGGAATTTGTAAAGACTTTTTCTTTATTCTGCAGCACTAGATAAGAAAGAAAAGTTATAATCACCATATTTATGCTTAGGAAGGTGAAGTTAAAAAGCAAACCACCAGCAGGGAGGCTCAGGACTTGGTGGAGTTCCATAATGAGTGTTTGAATGGTGTTATTTTGTACCTTCTTTATGTTTTTCAGCTAGATGATTGTGATCATCCTGGTGGCAGTACTCGTAACAAGAAGTTCCTAGGAGCTCTTGGGGCAGATACCCTAAAATTGCTGTGGCACTGTGAGAAACAGAAACATGAACTCCAGAGGATTCAAACAATTGCAAAGCTGGGTTTTTTTTCACGATCAGGCAAAGCAAAAAATTGATATTTAAAGAAGCAGTGTTTGGGGAAAGGAAGAAAGCACTAGTACAGCTCTGAAAGAACAATTCACTGCAAGATATCCATTTGCAATAAGTGGCAATTCAAAGACAAAACCCCCAGTGTTTAGACAAGCAAACCACATGTTCACACGAAATACTTGTGGTGATTAGGTCATAATTAGCCAGACACACAAAAGGAGTCATTAAAAAGCTCAGGATTGTCCAAGGAATAGGGTTGAACTGACACGTGCAGGTGAAGGAACAGATGAGTGAAAGCAACACAGTCCCCAGGGGCAATGATGAAATTCAAAATGCAAAGTCTAACACCACAAATAAAATATACTCAGTCTATACAACAAATAAAAATCTGGTTCAGAAAGTTCAGAAAAGGGGAACTTCTTAGCTTTCATTTCTAATGAAATAATTTGGTACCTCACTCAGACCTATTTGTCCCAAACAGTAGGATTTTAAGAATAACTTTTGGTTAAATGTCTTTAGTCACCTCGAGATTTTCCTTTATTAATAAATAAGTATATGAGTGCATTTTACAACATATTTCTGTGGAACAATACACTTTTATACATTAAGTTTTATGTTTGGGGAAAAAAACCCAAACAAATAAGAGCCCAAGAGTTCATGGGTTCAGACTGAAGTATTTCCAGCAGGAAAAAAAAAATCTGAAAATTTGTTGAGAATTCTAATTAGAAAATCTGGCAGAAAATTTAATTATTGGTGTAATTGGCATTTTGTCTCCACACAGAACAAAACACTCACCGCTGATCTACATAAACAAACTTCCCATCCATGGCAAACCGTGTAACAAATTCTGTTGCTTTGACTTTTATCTCTCCACTCTTCTGGGGAACAATGTAAGGGTGTAACCTCCCGATTGCAACGAGGCAGTTAAAGTTACTACTGTCCTTTTCTACATCGGTCTCCTCTTCTACTCCCACCTCATTGGGAGGCCAGTTCTTCAAGTAGCCAGTGCAGTGAATGGTGCAGTATTTCCTGTGATCTGAGAGAAAGAAATGAAATGAGAAGCAGTTATGGTTCAAAAAGGAAACCAAACTACTTTTTTTTCATTATTTTTTTACTCTATTGGCCATGAGACCAGCAACTACATTTTAGTTTTACCTACAAGGCTATAGATAATTTTACAGAGTGTTTTTAAATTGATTTGGTACTACTTGATTTTGGCTTACCTGGAGAGAGTGCTTCTAACCCCCTATGTGAGATTTAGGAAGAGAAGTTATAGGTGTTGGCAGTTCAAACACAGTGGCACAATAACAATAATGATAATAATAATAAAAAAAGCAAACCAACAGTCTGGCAACCCACAGCTCCCTTTGCCTTTGGGTGGTTTCATATGGATTATAAATGAAAACTAACTGGAAAGGCCCTCTGCAGCCTCCAAATCAATCTACTCTTTGTGAACACAATGATTTTAACATATCCTTGCTGCAACTGCTCAAAGAAGCAGTTGTGAACAATCCAAAACAATCCAGGTTGTTCTCTGTTTGCCTGAGGCTTCTGAATTCCACAATTTTCTGGGAACACAAATGTTTTAAATGTCTTAAAATTACAGTACACTTGCCACCTACCTAACGTGCAAACACCCTCGTGTGCATCAAGGCACAGAGATGATTTTATGTGTCCTACAGGAACTGTCTTCCCCCAAAAATGCCAAAGCACTCCTGATATCCCTGTGCTTACCATAGATTTGATTTCCTCTCAACAAGAAAAAAACCCACTTATCAACTCCATAAAATGAGAAACTGAGTTATCCCACTGTAACTTTGTCCCAGTTTCTCAGCTGCCTTCCCAACAAACAGTTATCCAACTACTAAATTCTTATCTTACCCAGTTATTTGACACATCAAGGGATCAACCAAATTCTATTTTACTTACAATTATGGGCCTCTTAAATTTTACAGCTGTGTGGTGTATCTCAACAGTAACAGGTTACTTTAAAAAAAAGAGAAGTTGGAGGGTTGTTTTTTTTCAGGATCAACCAATCTCAGCACACCTTTGCAAAAATCAAGACTGAGGTATTAAACAAAAGCTGGAAATCACACTTTAAAAATCAAAATTTTCACTGAAAATCTGACAAGAGTAGATTACTGTACAGGCATACATAGCAGAATATGAGCTACATTAAAATCCTTGGAAAAATGAATGGGATGACACTGATAACTTTACAATGAAAAGGGGGAAAAAAAGGAAAAACTCAGACTTTCAAATACACACAACACAAAAAGTAAATCAGAAAAAAAAAGTTGGTTTACTTGCTTTTTTTTTCCTTCAAAATAGCAGAGTTTGCAGGCCTTATTCACTCAGTTATCTTCAAGAGATAAAGTTATTTAGTCTCATTCTTCTCATCTGCTCCAGTTCTTTCAAGTATTTCCCTGAGCCTTCTAAAATTTGACCCCAACAAACCACGCTCCTAAACAGCCACCGTAGCTTCCTCCCTGTTTTCCAGGAGGGAACAGGGAGCAGAAAGGCTACAATGAGACTGTTTGTCCAACTTCCACTTCTCTCCAGCTGCTCTGTGAGATCAGCCAGAGCTACACGAGGGTCACGGCAGCCACCGGCAACTTAAACTTGGAATTGACATTTCAAGCTGAAAAGCACCCCCTCCTTGATCTACACTGCATGAATACCTTTCTTCTTTGGGTTGGGCAAACACTCCTCTTCCTTCACCGTGCTCCTGCTGCACTTGATCCGACAGAAGAAGGAACGGCGAGCCCCGGAATTCAGCCGAGCCGGTCCAGCCTGGAAATCTGTGTGGACTTGCAAGCCCGCTTACAAAAATCCAGTAAAGCAGTTAAAAAAAGCCCAAAATCAGACAGTGGAACTTCCCAAAACATGGAGCTTCTAGGATTACATTCCCCTAAATAAATCCTGGCCTCACAACGAAATAAGTCTAAGCTTAAATAATAAATAAAACATGGCTGCCCCACAGATTCCGGAACAAAAAACAAACAAACAACAACCAGCTACCAAACTAATTTTTAAACCCCTCCTGATATTCTGAGTGGTATTTTAAGAAACTTTCATTCAGTTTGTTCTTTTGGCCCAAGGATGCCTGTAAAAGCCAGCTCTAAACTAGCCCTGAGCTGCACAGTATGTAAGGCTTCCCACATGAGAAATAAGTGTAAGCAGAGGGAGGGTTGGTGACAGTGGGATTGACACTTAGCATTTTCAGAGCAGACAGGGATTCTTGACAGTGCAGTATTTTATCCCATCAGGGCTTTTGTATTGACAAGACCTAGCAAATACAAGAAAAAAAAGTAGTATTCCTGGTAGGAAGAAGGTCAGAGCACAGCTTGGTAAATGTTCAAACAGTGCAAATCTCAGTCATTCTTATGATCTAAAATCAACTCTTTTCTGGGCTAACTTTGAACTGCAAAATGCATTCTGAGCAGCAGATACACATTCAAATGGGTCACAAGGACACCCAGGCACATAAAAATACAGCTATCTATCCTGGATAATAACTGGATTTACTGACATCTCTTCAAAAATGAATCTGAGTTCAAGTGTGACTTACTCTTGCCATCCACGAGCTTCTCCCGAGGGGACACGTCTGAGGCAGAAAGCTGCTCCTTGACTTTTGCAACATCTTTCGGATGCAAATAATCAAACAGGCTCTGCCCAATTAAACTGGCCTGTTAAAAACAAAACAAGTCCCACAGGAGATGAGAACCACACCCACGTGTTGCTATTGAAAAGGATAGTTTTGCTTTAAAATAAAAAAATAAAAAAAAAATGTAAATCACTTGACTATGTAAAAGAAAATCTCTTGCACCCCAGAAATTAGGACATCTTCCAATTATCCTCTCAGAGCAGCAGTTTTCTTCAGGGGGAGCTGAAATCTGGGGCTGTTACTCAGGTCAGGAACACCAAGTGTACCTGCAAATATTTTATTACAGGATATCCAGCCTTACTCTGAAGCAGCTTTAAAGAAATTCCAAGAAATGATAACACAAGGTCTGGTTTAAACCCAAAGAAAGTCCAAGAAATGGTATAAATAAGAAAAATGTGCAAGTTTTTCAAATTTCTCAGAAAATGCAAGGTAAAAGTAAAGCAAGAAACTCAGCTATAACCAACCTGATCATAATTCAGTATTTTGCAAACTGATTCAGAGACAAACAGGATTTTCCCTCTGTTGCATCCAACCACAAACAGGAATCCATCTGCAGCCTGGAAATATAAAGATATTGTCTTTAAAAACATGCCATTAAAATATCCAGTGAATATTAATTACTACAAGAAAGCACACTTTCTAAACCTGCTTTTTAAAATTAAATACAAGGAAGATGGAGAGGGATTATTTACAAGGGACAAGACAAGGGGCAATGGCTTCAAACTGACAGGGAGCAGGTTTAAATTGGATATTGGGAAGTAATTCTTCCCTGGGAGGGTGGGGAGGCCCTGGCACAGATTGCCCAGAGAATTCCCAGCTTCACTTGGGAGTCATTTACAGAGCTGGGCAAAAAGTTTGTTACAAAAACTGAAGTTAATAAGGACATCATTCACCTGAGAGTGTCCTTCCACTTACCCTCAGGATTAACTGTCTGAGTTCATCATCCTTTAAAAATGAAGGTTTGTATCTGACTTCTGTATAGGAGCTGCTGGAACCTGGAAAGTGGATTAATCACAGACATAATGTCAGATGTCACATTTGAAATTCACTTTTAAAGGAGTCATACTTAGTATATATTTTGTATTTTTTGCTCTGTGACCAGAGCAGCTGAATTACAAAAAAAAAAAATTAACAGTTCTAGGAATTCTAAAAATAAATTAAAAAAAATCTCAAACATACAAGCACATAACTATGTTTTATTGCCAACAATCCAATTTTTTACTAATTGTAGTTAAATTGAACATCTCACTAAATGTAATGACTGACTCACTGCATGTGCTGTTCTAGCACCCATGGCAAGCACTCTAAAATAAAGGATTTTTTTTCCATTACAAGCATGTCTATAACTTTTCCTAGATATTTTTTGAGGAAACAGCAGTTGAACCTTCTAGCAAATTTCATCATTCACTATGATTCCGCAGAGCACCCTGTGTTTCTTAAAGTATTTGTTTTGAAGATATATATATATATATTTATATATATATATATATATATATATATATATATATAAAACTGTGCTGGGTGAAGCCCAGTTTTCACATCCTATTGGTAAAATATAAATGTTTGAGCTGAAGGTTTCTTGGAGATGGTTGTTTATAAACTGCAAACCCCCAAAATCTTGTGTGCTGTTGACAGACTGTGCAATGTGCAACTTGTGTTTGGAGACAATTTTTTTAGGGGAGGGAAAAAAAATAAATCAATCCCAAACCCCAGCAATTATCAAAAGGAGAGGAAAGGATATTTCCTGGGTTGATCCTGACACTAAACATTCCCTGAGATCCATGATTACTTTGCCAGCTGTCTGAGTTTATAACTCTTTTTCTGGCTACTCTCTAACATAATTTTTAAGACTTTACTGTTATCAATCATTTGTTAAAATATGTTTTGTCTTGCAACTTTTCTTTTGACTCCTGGACTTTTTATAAAGAACCAAGGAGTGACTTGGCTGCAAGACAGAAAACATCAGATACTGAAGGGTGGCTTTTTTTCTGCTGTACTAAGCAAAAAGAAGAACTCGAGTTCTGGAAGATACAGATGGAGATTTAAATGAGGAACAGCCCCAGAACTAAATACAGTAAGGAAATGCAAAATGAGTTATCCTTGGTTTATCTGAGACCAAAGAAGACACACAGTGTGCTGTTAGAACAAGGATTAAGTTTGCTAAACCCCACCTTTCAAAGACTTCAAGTGCTGCACAGCCATCCTTAACACTGTGAGCTTGTCCAGCTTCCTGGCCATGGGGTTGCACTGAGGGATCATGGCAGACAATTCCTCGATCAGATTATTCATTTTGTCTCTCCTCCTTTTCTCTGTTTGACTGTGAGCCTCTCTGAGAAGAAAAAATATTTTTAAAAAAGAGATGTAGAACACATGTTTGGTTTTTTTACCCCTCCATAACATTCAATAGTTCAGTTCTGCAATGGAACACACCTCGCGATTGCTACTGCACTGAAACAATTTTCATACACTTGGACAGCTGAATGGGATTCACCTGAACAAATGAAATGGTCCCAATAATGATGGGAAAAACTGAGGAGGAAAAACACTCTCAAGGAACAGTTTGATTATATGTGGCCATGAAGACTTATAAAAATTAAATTATTCTTGTGACTTTTGACTTCCAAGTGATTACTTGGACACCCTACAGAGGAAAACTCTGGATGTCCTTTAGGAATCCCTGGGAGACATTTCTGTTCCTCATCTCTGGAACTGTGGAACTAGGATGGGGTGTTCATTCTGCCCTTTTCCTTTTCAAAAACAGTGTCCCAGCACAGACTAAAGCCTCTCTGAAATCTCTTTTATGCAACTCCCAACAAGCAGAAATAAGCAGTGTCTTCCTATTAATACTCAGTCCCTTAAAACCCTCTCAGGTTGAAGCAGAAACACCACCATTTACTCCCACACTTTTCCTTGGGATTTTAAGGGATGTAGTGGGAACTGAAAGAAAAAGCTGTGCCTTGTGTCATTTACCACAATAACTCAGAAAACTTTCCCTTTTCCTGGTCAGGTGAGAAAGAACAAAGTGCAGTTTTAAAGACCTTGTTATCTGTTATTTTTATTACTTCCTTCCAAAAAAAAAATAAACGCCTCCACCACACAACTGATTCTGGGTCATTCTGCCAAGAAATCAGCTTTTCTCCCTCTAAAGCCTTTCTAAAAGCATTTTAATTGTAGGAGTTACGCTCAGCTTTAGGAGTTCACCCGACTCTTTCCTCGCTGTAGGAACAGTCAAGTACAATATTGTGTCTGCTCCTTGACCTGTGGACCTCGGGAAGAGGGACACAGTCATTCCAGGAAAGGGAGCGACCTTCCCCATCTCCAAGGGTCAATATGAAGTTATAAAAAAATCAAGGTGGGTGCAGAAATTCAGGTGGTGACTGGATGACTCAAAAAGCCTTGTGTTACATTCCCAGTTGTAAAGGGGAAGGGAGAAAAGCTGCAGGGGAAAAAAAACCACTGGAAGAACACAACTGGGAAGAAAAGCTTCAGAGAGTCTTCTATTTTTTTCCCCCCAGCTAATGAACCAAAACTCAAGGAAACAAAATGAACAATACCACACAATCTTTTATAGCAATCTGGGATACTCTGTGGAGACAAATTCATTCTGGAGTTAAACAAAACTGTGAATATATCTTGGGTCATTTTAGTTTCATTGGTTTTGTTTAGATTACAGGGACACTTCACAATTATTAGTTAGCACACTATATAAATAACACCTCTGACAGCATGCTGAGTGGATTATGGATTTCTGGTTTGACATCTCTGCTCCCATGAAAAATGAAAGACATTTTTCAAGTCAATTTTATAGAACAGCTCTAGTTTTACAAAGTGGCTTGTCTACGGCTGAAAATAACTGCCTGACTTGTGGCTGCATCTTATAAGTGAATCTCAGCTGCTGTGAATTCCAAGTTCAGTGGCAAACCTTGAATAATTCCCTACACAAAAACTTGTGCCAGGATGAGAATTCTCTGTTGTGCTTTAGCTGAATCCATTTCTATGTGGGATAAATTTTAAATATCTGCAGGTGTGGACAAATCCAGAAAAAACAGTTCTCAAATTCACCCCAGTGAAGCATCAGCTCCTCCCTTTAGAGATGACTTGAGTGTTTTGCATTTAATTTTCACCTGGAAAATTGTATTCTCCTGTTTTTGCTAAGCCATTTGAGATATTTGGCAGCAACTTTTATTAAAATTAGTAGAAAATTCCTACACGTTTAAGCAGGGAAAGGAAAAAGTATACAGTTAAATATTTGAGAAGTTTCACAAACTCATATTTCACTATTATTTACTAGCGAAACATATTTCTGTTGTAAATCAGTACCTGAAATCTTTCACTTTAACATGTTCTTCATCTTCGCTCCTAGAAAAAAAACCCAACAAGATATAGTTTTACATTGCATATTTAATACTTACTTGGCACCTCTTTCCTCCCACAACTTTCAGAAGATATAAAATGCTACAACTTTACTATGGCTCTGGCAAAAGCAAAGCCCCAAAAATTCCTGAAAGGAAAACTTGTGTAGCAAGTGATGCACAACAGAAAGAGACCAAAGCACAGCTGGCAATATTCACAGTTGTTTGAACATATTACGGGGATATTCCATAATTATGGGGCTATTTGTAACCTGGAGAAAACAACATTATTAGAATGTTCAAATAACTTCAGTCTAAGCTCGACTTCACTTTTTTGATTTCAAATTTTACAAGGGAGCTCATCTATTCACATTGTGATTTCTCATGTCTTCTTGTCAGATGATGAAATGAGCAACCCCTGCCTAGACTGGGCCTAAATTACAGTTTGAAAGGTAAAAAGTCTTCTTATTTGAGTGGTGCTTTTCATCTGCTCCCATCCTTAACCTCCATCCTACCATCCATCTGGTGAAGTTGGAAGAAGAGACAAAATGCCTTGGGAAGAAGTCCCAGGAACCCTGACCACTGGATGGACCTCCCCCTCCTGTTCATCACCTTGTGCTGTAAAAGCCCTGCCCTTGGATGAAGCTTTCCTGAAGGAACCACACAGCTTATCAAGGCAAGTGTGACACGTCCATAAGCACCCCAAAGAGACGGAGTCAGGCATAGAAAGTACCTTTTCTGAGGATCACCATCAGCTTCGGCCGTGTCCCTGCAGAAACACGACATCAAGTAAGCAAAATGTAGTTCGGAGCACAACAGGATGACTGGAGACACCCAAGGAAGCAAAGCCACAGAAGAATTTTAGTGGAAACCCCACTTGGTTCCTTTCAGCAAGAACACCAGTTTTTAGGACCTAATTACTACTTCTTATAAACCAATACTTTGTCAATTAGTTTTTTGCCTTAGACATGAATTTTTTTAATCAGGGAGATTGAAACTTGAGGGAAACTCTACTGAATGGGTAAAAATCCACAAGTGCTACTGAAAAAGAATGGAGAGTTTAGTTTTCTCCCCCCAGAAACCAGCTATTGCTGGAGGTTTCAGTGATCCACAAGACACACTTGAATCTCCAATTCCATCAACACCCGTGGTATGGGTACATTCTGTAGATCAGTGGAATGTACATGGAAGAAGCAGGGGGTTAAAGATAATTGCTTTAATAAGCACAAATACATGTAAACTTCCTACCCCTCAATTTTTTTAAAGGTGGGTTTTGCACACTGGTTTGGAGATATTTGTAACGCATTAAATCTGCCTCGTGCCCCTCACTTCTGCCTGATCAACACAGCTTTGAACAGATCACTTTTTGGGTGAAGTGGCATCTGTTTGGCAGCTACAAACCAGGAGAAAACAAGTATGAGCCACTTAAAAAGCCTGAGCACAACCAGGGGACAGTCCCCATTTTTAGGTCAAAGGTCAGTCCCCACACTGAAGGCAGTGGCTGCTCTGGGCACTGAAGCAGCAGTTCCAGATCAAACAGCTTAATTAACAATCTGGTTTCATGCTTGAAGGTAATATTCCAAAGTAATATTCCCAAGTGTGCCCTTGGGTTATTTCAAGCAGTTTAATAACTTGCCTTCAGCAGCAGGCAAAGTAGAGGGGAAAAAAAGGGGAGAAAGATGGGAAAAAAAAAAAAAAGGTAGGATTGAGAGACATCATCCAGACACTTCAGCCAGGATATGGCATTATAGGATTCTGGGTTTAATAACAAAGAATGCACCTGGAAGAAAAGGGAAAAATGAAAGTTGGGCCACACATAGAGAAGGGATTTACTCACTGGTTGTCGGAATCGCTCCCTTTGCGCTTCCTGGGAATCTCAGGCACGGGAGCATTGAAAGGAGTGGTGGTGGCAGGCTTGGGGATGGGATTCATGAGGTTGGAGACTCCAGAGGCAACACAGGGGCTCCCATCTACCGGGAAATTCTCTGTGAATGGGAATAAAAGCTCAGTGTCCAGGAGGAGCCGCAGCAGTGTGGATCCATCTGGATTCCCAGCTGGACAGAAAGTGTTCTCTGTGTGTGATTTCCAGGCCTCTGACACAGAAAACAAAGCTTGCACTGCTCCAACCCCAACAACTTCCCACAGTGCTGTAATGATATCCTGAACCCCATCAACAGAAAACACACATATAAAATATATCAACTCCCCTCCTTAAATCCCCCCCAGCACCTCAGACATCCTGCTGCAGAATCCCAGGAGTTCACAGATCCAAAACACTGTGGCTCAAACTCAATTAAAGTTCAAAAATACAGAGGGATCCATGTTCTGAGATAAAATCCACAGTTACACAGGACATTTGCCATGGAAGTTGGAGGAGTCTCGAGGCAGGAACTCCTTCAGGTTTCACGTGCTCGGGCAGGTGAGAGACACAGAGAGGTCATTTCAGGAAGGGAGCCTCTCCTACTTCTAGAAGGGGGTAAAAGGGGAGCACTTGGAAAATCCAACAGGAATTTAAAAATGGATGTTTTCTTGTGAGTTTCCTCCTTTTTTTTTTTTTTTTTTTGGCATCTGTGCTATCTGTAAATGACAGGTCAAAACATGCAAGAAGAACCATACAAAGCACAGGGGTTTTTAACCCTTAGGTGCAAACACATCTTGTACCATAAAAGTGACCTGCTAGTTTTTCATTTGCTGCTGGAATATGACTGGAGAGTTAAAGGAATATAGGCTAATACTCCAACAACAGCTTGCCTGGTCTTCCACTAATCCTCTCTCTGTCAAGTCAGACGACACAAAGTCAGCCTCTGTTTTATTTTAGAAAGCTCTTTAACTCATTAACTCACACAGGAAGTCTCAAAAAACAAAACAAAACAAAAAAAGAGGTGGAAACTCAAAGAATCAAGAAATACCTGACAAATAAGTAACAGCCTTTGTGCAACAGCAAGAAAACTTGGTTATTTCAGATACACATTATATTCAATTTAGGATTGTTCAAAAGATTAAAAGAAATTACATGATAAAAAAAGATATTAAAAAAAGGACACGCTAAGTACTACAAGGGCACAAATGGTAGATATTTGAAATACTTTTATGATTAATCCCCTCTTCCTAATAGTCTCTCATTTTATATTTCTGTTATTAACACAACTATAAACCAAAACACGGCGCCGATTCCAAAGGAAGTGTTTATTTAAGGGAGCAGTTTTAACTCACCGAGGTCACAGCACCCTATAATTATTAGATTAAGCTCCTGAAGTATAATCCTCCATGATGAATATTCATAAAAGAGTACTTACTAAGCAGAGACCTACATGATTCCAAGACAGGAATGCCTCCAGCACAAGAGATCCTTCCGTCCTGGAACAAAGCAGGCCAGCCCAGACCCACTGACCTAAATACTGCTGTGCACACATGGCCAGCCTTTCTGGGCCACTGCCCTTCACAGGAACAAAATCCAGTGCCTCTTGCACCATTTTCCCAATTTCTCCATCACATTAGCAGAATTATTGTTATTCTTTATATATGTATTTTAAGATTTAAAAAACCAAACCAAACAAATCAAACCAAACCCTTCAAAAATAAACAGTGCAATAGAAAACAGATAAAGAAATTAACTTAAAGTGTCAGAACTGCCAAGCAGAGTAGAAAAGTGGCTCTGGGGAATTTAGTACACTACCACTCACTGGAGCAAGAAGGGGGTAGAAACAGCTCCTAAGGCCAGGTCAGCTCTGAGAAGTCACTGAAGGTGATTTAAAATAATCTCTGAGGGCTCTCTAATAATTATCATTAAACCAGGTGATTCCAAGGTGCTCCCTCTCTCTCTCTCTCTCTCTCCCTGGAGAGGGTCAGCCTCGTGGAGTCTGGGATTGAAAGCTTTCTTCTCCTGCTCCCTTACTATGGGAGATGGATTATTTCCCTGGAAAACCATTTTTAACTCCTAGAAACAGTTTAGGAGTTATTATCTACTTATTCAAGTCGAGATGCTGTGTTTTAGCACCCCAAGGGCTATAACTCACACTAGCCTGGTTTGCAAGCCCAATAAAACTCCAGCATGGAGAAATGACACTTTTATTACTGTTCATTCCATTGTTAATGCCCCTGGCACACTGACAACTGAAATTAATTGGCAAATGAATAGTCCCTCAAAGACAACTCCATTATGGTCTATGTGTGGCTCTCAGTATTAAGTACATCTATATTAAAAAGCTTATCTATATTAAAATCAAACATCTTTTAAAAGCATGTTGGACACATTGGGACAGATGAAAATAATACAGGAAACCCCCCAGTGGAATCATTTTCTCTGTGAAAGAGAAAAGACCATCCAAGCAGTACAAACACACCATATCTCATTCCTAGTGAGTATCAGAAAAAACCCACTATTATTTTAACCCTAATTAAGTGTAGTATATTTTAACACTAATGTTAATATATTTTGTAATCAGGCAAAGAAAACATTTAAGGAGTGATTATCAATATACACAGTTCTCATCATCTCAAATCTCAAGATCCCACTCTCTTGTGTTTGTCTACAGGGAAAAGAAATAACTCCAGTGCCCGAGGGGTTGGCAAAGCAGTGAACAAGCGCGAATGAGGTGGTGGAGCTGTGTTTGGGTGGGACACAGACACCCCAAACCACCCCATCCCCGTGTTCAGCAAAACATCTGCCCAACCCCGTGCAATGCTTACAGAAACAAGGCTTGGGACACTCCACGTTTTTCCAAGAAGATTTTTTCCAATCACATGCCACATTCCTGAGCTGTTTGCTCCACCGAGAGTTCGCAGGTTTTCAGTTCTAGGCAAACACAACCCTTAGAAAAAGCTCATGGCCCAACTCCAGCAGCCATAAAAGGGGAGGTTGATCTGAGCAAACAACCATGTCCACATCCAAAGTGGCCCTTCCAGCCCCTCTTGGAAGGAAGACATTTTCAGGGTGATTCATCCCAACCCAAAATAGATCCCTCCAGTTGGCTCCATGGAATACAACAGTTCTAGGGTGATTCATCTCCATCTAAAATAGATTCCTACAGTTGGTTCCATGAGATGCAGCCCAAGAGTATCCACCTTTTACACAAGGACCAAAGCAACTGGCTCAGACTTGGATATCCACACTTGGACATCAGAAAGGAGTGAGATGAATCCCTCCCAGGGTGGCTCCAGAACCATCATGCAATCCTTAAAAATACACCAACCACAGGCTGCTATCACATGCAACAAGTTCAAGCCCAAGACAGTCTTTCAAAATTAGTGCCTTAATTAATACACTATCACCTCATGATCCACTCACCCCCCCCCGTGCAAGGTCACCTTTTCCTCCTCATAGGTTTCCTAAATTATTGCTTTAGTACCAAAACACTGACTTTTTAGAATCATCAGAATGCAAGCATACAAGACACACAGGAGGATACAAGTCATGTCTGTATTAATAAATTAATATAAAAGCTGTCAGTCAATCCTCACTGAGACAGTTTAAAAAGCAGCATCCAAATCCAGTTATCAGGAGATGGCAGCAAAATGGGCTTGAAATAAAATGTCAACAAATAAGCACAGTTATAAAACTTATGGTGACACCCTTCACAGTGTGGGGATAAATGAGACTTGGAGAAATGTGGTTTATTATGTGGTAACACTGGCACAAACTTTCCAAGAATAAGGAATTTTCAATCCAGTTCCCTATTTTGAAACAGTTTCTGGCAGAAGGAAAGGAGGAGAAAGAAGCTGCTTTGAACTGAATTTTCTAAGATCACAGATGCCACAAACCATTAAAATGTGGATTTTCCGAAGGTATGTTCCTGGCACACAGAAAAACCTTGAGCTGGAAATTTAAGCCCTGACAAGTTTAAAGAACTCAAAATTCTGTTGGAAGTGGCTGTGAAGTGGCACAGAAGGGTTGTGCAGTGTAAGGAGATAAGTTATTAAAATTGAAATGTGCTCACAGGAGCTCCTGGGCTGCATCTGCAGTGGGAAATCAGTGGCAGAACAGTAGCAGGTCAGGGGGAAGCAGCTGGTGCAGAAGCCCCTGTTTCTAATTTGAAAGCAGTTCAGGGAGCTTACAGTAAATCACATTTACTCTGGTTCACTGGGCCAAAAATCCTCACAGTGCATGTGTGTTGAAGCTGCCTGAGAACCCCTGGTTCAGTCCCTGGGGGATGTGTGGGGTGGGACTGCAGCAGCACTGACCCTGCTGCAACAAAAGTCGACTTCAGTTTCTCCTGAAAGGAGTCCAGCTCAGGGACACCAAAACTGCCCTGCAAGCCAAGCCAGGGAGCAGCAACTTACTGAGTCCTGTCATAATGAACAGCCTCTTTTATTTTATTTGTTGTAAGATATAAGATGGAGGGCTGGAGCAGCTCCGCTGGGAGGAAAGGCTGGGAGAGCTGGGATTGTTCAGCTGGAGAAGAGAAGCTTTGGGGTGACCTCACTGTGGTCTTCCAGGACCTGAAGGGAGCCCACAAGGAAGATGGAGAGAGACTATTTCCAAGGGCCTGGAGTGACAGGACGTGGGGAATGGCTTCATACTGACAGAGAGCAGGGTTAGATTGGGTATCAGGGAGAAATTGTTCCCTGTGAGGGTGGGCAGGCCCTGGCACAGGTTGCCCAGAGAAGCTGTGGCTGCCTGGGACAGTGGAAGGTGTCCACCATACACACAGTGCTGCAGGAGGAAGAAAGTTACAGGTGCTGTGATGTCCCTTTCCAGCTCCTGCAGATCTGAACTGCAGGAGAAGAAAACAAAGAACCATATTTTGGAAACAGGGCTGAGAGTTGTGTTTAGTATTACTTGGAGTTCATTTATTTTAGATATTTAAAATAGGTCACGAAAAGCACCTTCAGGCCGATCACAGCAAGATTATTGCCCACAGCATCTCTGGTGGAAAGCTGGGCCAACAGTTTTCACTGGAGTTCTGAAAACAGTAGGAATGTACAGTCTGAAGCAGCTTATTCTTCCCCAAACTTTGTAATGCAGGAGCAAGAGACAGACAATTCACAATTGCATGAACAACACTATGCAGAGGATGAACTCTTATATGTTCTTGAAAAATGTATTTGTTTTTAATGTCAGCAAATGAAAAGTTATAATATCCTGAATTACAGATATTTAAATCAAACAATAGCAGAGGCAACTGATTACTGTCTGCTTCTGTTTTTACTTATTTTCATCGCTCAGCAGAGAATCAGTCAAGAGTAACAACTCACCCCTTAAATAACACATTTCCTTGACAGATTTCAAGCACCAAATATTTGGCCAAACCTGCTGTATTAAAAACTATAACAAGACAGGAACCAGCTAATGAAAAGACACTGCCCAAGGCCTTGAAAGCGTACCCTGCTTTCCCAGGCACTTTGGGGTTCACAGCAGGTAAAACCCACTGACAGTAATCGGGAGTCTCATCCCTGAATAAAAAACAACCCACTAACCCTCTCCAATCACACACTCCTAAAGGAACAGTGGGTAGCTGTTTGCCTGCAAGTTTGGGAATCATCTCATTGTCAAATGTCCCATTCAGAATTTGATTTTCCACGATGTGCAAATGGACCAACAGTAACGTGTACAGCCAAGTGAAAAAACAAATGAATCTATTAAGCAGTCAACCTTAGTGTAGGGACCTATTCCACAAACAATTCAGATAAAAGTCTCTTAAAAGCAAACAAACCCAAAACTTGTTTCTTCAAAATCCAGTCAAAGAACAGGTATAAACATGGGTAGTTAAAAAAGCAAGGAGGGGGTTTATTTCACAACAAAACACCGATCTTCCAATTCCCATGTGTAAATGGAAACATCCATGCACCTGGGGTTTTCTTTAATTTATTTATTTCCTTTCCTTACAATATGTGCACGCTATAAACAATAAACTCTCGTTTCAGCAGTTCCACAGACTGCAAAAACACCACGGAAAAACACCCTGCTCTGTTTTCAAACACTGCATTGTTTGCCACAACATTTTCACCCCAATATTTAAACAACCAAGCAGCAGAGACAGAAACTTGTCAACTTGAGACAGCCGGGGTCCCCATAGCCATAAAACCACCCACAACCCAGCAGAGGTTTATGAAACACCACTGCTGAGCCTAGAAGAGCTGGTGCTAACTAAACAGAACTGCAGGGCCGGCTTCAGAGGGAGTGGCTCGCTCCCGTTTCTCCAAACCCCGTCCAAAACACTCCTTTCCCCTCGCACAGGGGAAGCACCGAACTTGTCTCCAGGCAGGAGGAGCAGCTGCTGGTGGTGCTTTACAACCAGCCTGGGTTTTTTTAGTCCCAGAAACTTACGATTAAGAACAAGGAAGGAACATCAAACCCTGGTCACACACACACAGAGAAGCCAGAATCACTGTACCTAAAATACTAAATACCGGAAAAAAACCCTCATACTACAGTATTAGGAACGCAAAGGTAAGTGAAATTACGAACTACATCGTAAGTTAAAAACAAACCAAGGAGATTTTTAGTGCACATCACGTCGGTATGATGGCAATAAACAGCACTGAGTGACCATCACACAGGCGGGCGTCAGAGGACGGTGCCAGGCTCATTTCAGCGACAGGACGGGGAGCAGTGGCCATAAACTAAAACACAAGAAGTTCCACCTCAGCACGAGGAAGAACTTCTTTGCACTGAGGGTGGCAGAGCCCTGGAACAGCTGCCCCGGGAGGTCGTGGATCTCCCTCTCTGGAGACATTCCAGCCCCACCTGGACGCGTCCCTGTGTCACCTGCCCAGGTGACCCTGCCCCGGTGGACCGGATGGTCTCCAGAGGTCCCTTCCAACCGCATTCCCGGGATTCCGTGGTTTCCCCGTGAGCGCCCCGGGTACCTCCACCTGGGCAGGAACTTGTGCGGGAGAGCAGCGCCCGGCGGGAATTAAAACACAAACCCCCCAGCGCCAGAGCGGCGCCGGGCACGGGCGGGGGGAGCCCCAAAGTACCCCTCACCGGCCCCACAATAACACCCGCCCGCGCCACATCACCGAGGGGGACGGACAGACACACACACACGGACAGACACACCCCACCCACGGCCGCCCCTCAGGCGGACCCCGCTCCTACCTTCCGCCGCCCGCCGCTCCTCCTCGGCGCCCTCGGCGCTCGCCGCTCCTGCCTCGGCCATGGCGGGCGGCCCCGTGCCCCGCTCCACAGCGCCCCCGGCACCGGCGGCATGCGGGGGGGTGAGCCGAGGTGAGCCGAGGAGGAGCCGCCGGCCCGGGGACGGCTCAGCCCGGGGAGGGCTCAGGGACCGCCCCGCCAGGCTCCCCCCCCGGCTCCGCCTCAGCGGCTCCGCCTCAGCACCCTCGCCCCGGCCCCGCGCGCCGCCTCTCGCGAGAGCTGGGCCCGGGCGGCCTGAGGGGACGGCGGGGAGCGCGAGCGCTGTGGGGACAGCGGAGGGAGCGGGAACGCTGAGGGGATGGCTCGGGGAGCGGGAACGCTGAGGGGACAGCGGGGGAAGCGGGAGCGCTGAGGGATGGCTAGGGAGCGAGCGGGGATGGCTGGGGAGGAGCTGGGGATGGCGGGAGTGGAGCGCTGAGGGGACAGCGGAGGGAGCGGGAACGCTGAGGGGATGGCTCGGGGAGCGGGAACGCTGAGGGGATGGCTCGGGGAGCGGGAGCGCTGAGGGGACAGCGGGGCCGGGCGGGGTGGGAAATCGAGCCCGAGCTGTGACCGAGCACCGGTTTGTCGACTAGAACACACAGCATCGAGCGCCGCAGTCTTTCCTGAAACACCTCGTGGCAAGGTGACTCTCCGCCGCCTCCCTGGGCAGCCCGTTCCGATGGCTCAGCACCCTTTTTGGGAAGAAATTCTTCCTGATGTCCGACCTAAACCTCTGGTGGAGCTTAAGACTGCGTGCTCTCATCCTACCACTCGTTCCCTGGGAGTAGGTCCCCCATCTGGCTACAACCTCCTGTCAGGGAGCTGGAGAGAGCGAGAAGTTCCCCCTGAGCCTCCTTTTCTCCAGGCTGAGCCCCCCCAGCTCCCTCAGCTCCTCCTCACAGGACTGACTCTCCAGACCCTCCCCCAGCTCCGTTCCCTCCCCTGGGCACTTCCAGCCCCTCAGTGTCCTTCCTGCAGGAAGGGGCCCAGAACTGAACCCAGATTTGAGGTGTGGCCTCAGCAGTGCCCAGCACAGGGGCACAGTCCCTGCCCTGGTGCTGCTGCCACACTTGCTGATCCAGGGGCCATTGGGCTCTTACCCCCTGGGCACAGCTGGGCTCATGTCCAGCCGCTGTCACAGCACCCCCAGGGCCTTTCCCACCGGGCACTTTCCAGCCCCTCTGCCCCAGCCTGGAGCTGAGGGGGTTGTTGTGACCCAAGGGCAGGACCAGCACTGGGTCTTGCTGAACCTCATCCCACTGTCCTCAGCCCATCGATCCAGCCTGTCCAGATTCCTCATGTTGTCCACAGAAGTGGATTTGTTACTAGGCACACAACAAAACAGTAATGACACAATGGAGCCAGACATCAGTGGTTTGAAAGTGTACAAAGATCTTGCACCAAAGAACATCCTGACTTGAGATAATCTTGACATGCCCAAGTCAGGATCTTGGAGTACTTTTGGTTGGCAGAGGCCTCTAGGAGTCATCTGGTGCAGCGTGTGGTCAGAGCAGGGACAGAACAGCCACATCTGTCGGTGAAAAGGAGCATAAAAATAGGGTTAACCTTGAGGAGTGTATTGATTTCGCTAAAGAAAATGTGGCTAAACACACACAAAAGATCCATGCCATTTTAATGAAAGTGAGAGTGTCATTTTCCTACTTTCATTATGCTGAGAGCAAGCACACGGGTGTGAAACACCACTCACCTGTCCAGGTCAAAGGGATTTTCAAGCATGCCAAGGTTTAAGCCAAACCTGGGGGTTATAAAACTGATCTGGCAGAAGTAAATGGCTTGAAAGATCATTTTTCCTGAAAGGCTGTTTACTCCAACAGGATGGTCACATGCAACAGCACAGTGAGTCTGGAGCTGTAGAAAGAGTGCAGAGGGGACTCCAGTAATGTTTACAAGCATCTCACCGCTGGTGATAAGACTACAGGTGGTTGTGGTTATTTATAAAATTACAAGAGGATGTTCACTGTTGACTCTTTTAACAAAAAAAAAGGGTTTTTTTCTCCCCATCAATATCAAGGAAATTTTCAAGTCCTGCCAAAGATTTTGCTTGCTATACCTGAACAAACCCCTCCTGTGTGCAAACAAGCTGTTTCTATGTCTCTTTTCTCTGTGCAGGAAAGTTACTGTTTTGCCTTGGGAAAGCCAATACCTTGAAATGAAAGCCTCCTTAAATCTTTGCTTTTCTGCTTCCATCCTTCAATCTAAAACAGCAATTCAGCATTGTCTTTATTTTAATTAGGTACAAACATCTGTGTCTGCCAAAGCACTCCCCTCAACTACCCAAAAAGAGGGAGCAGCAAGGTGGAGGTCGGCCTCTTCTCCCAGGTAACAAGAAAAAGGATGAGAGGGAAGTAAATCCTTATAAAATTCTGGGAGCCAAATCCATTCGAACACCTACAAATTTATTTATTTATGGTGGAAAATGAGTAACTTGCCTGAGTTGGATAGAGCTGGGGACAAAAACCTGAAACAAAGGAGGTGTTTACTTCATAGCTTTCAGAGATTTAGACAGCATTTACTTGTCTAAACTATAATCTTGGGGAGGATTCCTGTTTTGTCCTGCTAAAATATTCTTCTGCCCCAGTTTTGAAGGCTGGAGCTCCCTCCTCCAGGTTTGTGCACACCCAAATGTTAGGGAGATTTAGGAGTCCAAAAGTCTTTCAGAGACAGCAACCACAGAAAGTTGAAGATGTTATAAAGTTCAACGAGTTAAACATATAAATAGTTCCCCCAAACTGTTTCAACAAGCTCAGTAGCCTAACAGCTCTTAAATACAAACTCTCTCCATATGGCAACATTAATGAGGACATTTAAAATGTTTTTTTTTTAATAAACTGACTCACTAGAAACAGAGCTACTGTCCCTCAGTCACGTTTCATTTCATATTTTTTAGTGCCACAATAGAAGAACTTGCAGCTCAACACAGAAATTAATGACGTGTCCCCTGGCACTTAAATAACTCCTGTAACCTTCCAGCGCTGCCAAATCATTAACAGAGATTTGAGACATCATTTGTGACACTTGTTTCTTCTTCCCAGGTGATGGTTGGCCTGTTCACTGAGCATTTCATCTGCCAGTAACTGGTGTTTGGAGCACAGTTTGCCTCGAGTCTCAGAGCAGAGTCTGCAGAGCAGGAGCCCAGTTTATGTAAGGCACTGAGTTTGAATAGGCCACACTTGATATTTTTGCCCCATTTTAAGGTGAGCACTTTCTCTTGAGTGGCTTTCAGCTATAAAATAGGGAACACAATGTTTTATGTAAGCCAGGGACAGCCTCTTTTTTTTTTTTTTCCCCAAACAACTTATACAACGACTTGCTAAGGGGGTAAGAATAACAATCAGACCTCGGGGCAGTTAAATAATGGCCTGAGAGTGAGCAGGTAGAGGTGGCTGTGCTCTGCCTCCTGTTTGGTTTCCTGTCACATCCAGGTCGTAGCTGTTTCCCAGGAGCGTCCCGAAGGGGCTGTGAGTTTTTCTGTGTTTGCTGGGGCCCAGCTCTCTCCATGCACACCCATCCCAGAATCCAGGAGTGACTCTCCTCCTGTGAGGGAACCCGGGAGTCCCTCTCCATTATTAGGGACACTTGTGTTACTTCACACACAAACACCCTTAGGTCACTGCCCAGGGGGACCCAGCCAACTTTTTTCCAAAAAGTTAATAGCAGTGAACCGAAGTGACTCAGCACTGGAGAGACAAACCCATTTTTCATAACCTCCTGTCCCAGAACACAAGTGTTTGTGGTTTCCCCTCAGACACGAGGCTCAAAGGAAAGAACAGCCCCTGTGCCCTGAATCCAGTGTGGTTTCATGGAGTACATGTGAACAGGTTAGCTAGTTATCAGAGAGAGTATTTTTTTAAAATCTATTTTAGGCCACTGTTTGCATTTTATTCTGCTTGAAGGCCGCTGGATTAATTTTAAGGGCACCACAAGCAATTTGCTGACTTACTTTGCCATAAATTCAGTGTCTGTGTATTAATAAAACCTGCTGGCATTTTAGAGCAAAAATTCCTCCCAAAATCAGAGTGCCTTTTGCTTCAAAAATTATAGAAAGAGCATAATCATGCTGTCATCAGCCACTAACAAAAATAAGCCCTTTAAAGTTATTTCTGCTCGATAATTAGCACAGAAGCCCTTCAGAGAATTAAAAAACATCACCAAAAAATCAGGCTTGTGCTGGCACAATCCAGGGAGTGGGGTTGTATGGATTATGTTATTCAGTGAATCCAATGGGATTGGGATGGTGATATAGAGATCTGTGAATCGTGGACAAATTCCTTGCATGATGAAACAAGTTTGACTGGAGAAGAGCATCCAAATCCTACTTGCTACTTAACATCCAAAGTGCCTGCTTTATTGTGGGGTCCTGCTTGGTGAGGTTTGTGCCCACAAAGTAATTCCCTTGCTTGTAAATCTCTTGCCCAAAAGTCTCTCAATTTGATGGTGCCATTTCTGATTTAAAAAAAATAAAATTAAAAAAGTAGCCTCCAGTTTTTAAATAGCCTTTTAATTCCTGGCAGAAACTGATGCTTTCTGAATGCCTAATGAGAACCTAATGTCTCTGAGAACTGGGTCTGCAGATACAAATGTCTTCCCAAGGATAAATAAAGCTGTTTAGGAGGCCTGCTGGAATGAAAAGCAATTCAAATGTGCCCACGGTGCACAAGGGGCAGCTCCCAAGTCGGGATCAGGGAGATCCCACCCGATGCCCTTTGAGAAAAAGGCATTTAAATGAGTTGTACACTTTGCAAAGCTTCCTTGAGGCTTTAGTTTCCTTTTGTTTGTAAAAAAATAGGTAGTATTTCCCTCTTTAACAGCAGAAGTTTCTCACATGGTGTTTGAAGCCGAAAGGACTCCACATCCTGCTTTTCAACCCACTGAGCTGCAGAGATTGGGAAATCTTTTTGTCTCCTTGGTAAAGAACACCAAGGCATGGCATCAGCAACCAGCTCCCTTGGGAGACCATCCTTGTTCCTGGTTTCTTTGGCCTGTAGATAGGGATCTGCTGCTGACGTCAGTGGGAGCTGGATGAGACCTCAAAGGCAGCTGCTGGATTGAAAATCTTGACACGAGTGTGATTTCACCCCCTCATGATCAAAAAGTCACTGAGGTTCTTATCTGATGGTTCACTAAATGGATATATTGAAGTCAGAAGTAGAACAGGGAAATCAAGAGCCCAGGCCTGGCAGAGCTGTTGCAGTTTTTGAGGAAGTCTGAACGCTGGAGGGATGTGTGTTCAAATGACAGGATGGTTTGGGTTGGAAGGGACCTGAAAGACCATCTCATTCCAACCCCCTGCCATGGGCAGGGACACCTTCCACCAGCCCAGGTTGCTCAGAGCCCCATCCAACCTGGCCTTGGACACTGCCAGGGATGGGGCAGCCACAGCTTCTCTGGGCAACCTGTGCCAGGGCCTGCCCACCCTCCCAGGGAACAATTTCTCCCTGATATCCAATCTAACCCTGCTCTCTGTCAGTTTGAAGCCATTCCCCATGTCCTGTCACTCCAGGCCCTTGGAAATAGTCTCTCTCCATCCTCCTTGTGGGCACAAATGAAATGAGGAGGGGGGAGAGGGAGGCTGGGCAGAGGCACCTGCAGGGGAAGGAGCTGCTCCTGATGGCAGTGAACTGCCTGGGGACAGCACTAGGGAGAGAACGTATTCCTGGTATTCCTGGAGGAGGGAGAAGCCGCAGCAGATGGCAGCTCACCAGAAACGCGTTAAAGCAGCTGGTGCAGACACAAGATGTGGCACTGAGGGTCGGTCCAAACTGTTCTGAGGGGAGCTCTGGCTCCACTGGGAAATGAGAAACCTGCCTTCATTTCCCTCCTCAACACCAGGAGGTCCAGGCCTGTGTACCCCATTTCCTCCCAGAACAGGGACCTTCACACTATCAAATAACCTGAGGAGGGTGGGAGGAGGAGGAAGAGGAGATTCATCTCCTCTCCCACCCACTGCAGTGGTAAGGTTACTACTGACAGAAGCCCATTGTGTGACACAGCCCCACCTGCCCCCAGCCCTCCCAGTGTCAGTGCAGCTGGGGCTGTTTGGATGGTGACAGCTCTCAGGCAGCCTGGAATTCCGTGCTGCAGGGCCTGGAGCAGCTGAACCCAGCATGGCTCACAGGGTGCCTTTGGAACCTGCTTTCATCTTGGAAGTTCAGCTGTGGGACAGGCATCTCAGAACCTCCATGGCATTTCAGATCTACATGTGAGAAGTCACTTTGCCTTAGAGAAATGGAATCCTCTGGATTGGAAAAGGCCTCCGAGATCATTGAGTCCAACATTCAACTGATCACCACCTTATCAGCTAGACCATGTCCAGTGTTTCCTCAAACAGCTCCAGGGATGGGGACTCCACCACCTCCCTGGGCAGCCCATTCCAATGCCTGACCACCCTTTCCATTCACAAACACATTAAGCACTTCCTAAACTGCAAATATATCCAGAGCTGGGAACCACTACTGTCCTCACTCCCAAGACAGACTGTTTTGGATATTCTTCCCCTCTCTTTCCATTGGATGCTTGTCCACAAAAGCTCTTTTATTGTCCAAAGCACAATTGTTTTGCTTAGGTACAAGGCACACTCTGTACAAGAGTAAAGCAATCAGATGCACAGATATTTGCAGTATGTTTTCTAAGCACTAAACTGTGATTTTAAAAAATTTACACGAGCTGAAGGCACTGCCTTTGTATTTGCCACTGAAGTGCTTTTTTTGAGGAACACTGAAGTGGGTGATGCAAGGAGATAAAGAACTGAACTAAGCTTGTACTTTCTTATGAGATATAGTTAAGGGAAGAAAAGAGTAACCTAATCCCATTAAAATAGAATTTGTAAGATTCTGTTAAAAACCATTTTCTGAGTAAACAGTGTCTCAATTCCTTCGAGGTCTCCCATCCTGGAAGAGAAATCCAGTACACCAGTGTGGGGGAAAAAAACCCCAAAGCAACAAACCAAAACCACAACTTTACAAAAAGAATGCTACTTTTATTGTCAAATGCTGTAAAAAGCCTCATATAAATTTTTATAATGCTTTTCCATGTAACTTTCCCAACCACGACTAATGAAACAGTCCAGGAAAAATAGAGCAGTTGCCTTTTGGACTCTGAGGACGAGCTGCTGGCGCTGGCAGGACGAGGTGCAGCCTGTGGGACTGAACAGGTGAGAGCACTTCCTCAGCATTCCCTGGCTAAACTGCAGCATTCCCTGCTGGCTGTGGCCAGGGGGAAGGAGACAGCACATCCCTGCCCTCAGGCGAACTCCCCCCTCCGGGGCTGTTTTCCATCCTGGATCCCACGGCTCGGGCCTTGAACAACTGACCTAGAAAAATAACACTCGTGTGACACCCCAGCAAGGCAAATTCCACAGTGCAACGTTGGATTTGGGAATGCTGGCAGGTTTTCCTTTCTTCAACTCCTTCTGCAGCCCACAGAAGCCCTGCTGATGTCCTGGACCTAAGGCCACTCGCTCCCGCTGGTTGGAGACCACGGTGTGCAAAAGCTCAGCTGCGGCTCCCAGTCCAAGGTTCCTCCCCAGTTCCAGGGAATTCACATCCAGGTGCTTCACTTCCATCGACACACTCATGTTTTCCCTGCTGGAACAGGATAAGCTTCCCAGCAAAGCTCTGCTAACGAGTTGCATACAACAATTCCACGTTTTAACCAAAGTCTAACAAAAACAGACTCCCAGAAAATAAATTTGCACATGGTTGCAATCATCAAGCCATTTCAGGATCTTTGGTACTCCAAGAATAAGAAAAATAAATGGCACAGTGACAAACATCACCAAAGGAAAACACACAACCATCCAAAGGAATCAGACAAAAATAACAAAGGATATGTTGTACTTCCACTTTTTTTTTGAAAGCCAGTGTACAATAACCTGCTGTTCTCTTTAACCCATTACAGTGTCACAGTTTCACCTTTAAAAAAAAAACCCAAACCCCTACCATCCTAAAAGCAGCAGTTAATATTGTTTAACTTGGCTTGCTGATTAAAATAATGCTATGGGTTTAAAAAAAAAAATTAAAAAAAAAATCAACTACCACAATACAGGAGTTTATGCTAGATAGGCTGCAGGCTGTTTCCCTATGGATATAACTCCTATGTGAGCACTGATATGATTAATCATCTGCAGTTTTACATGAGTTGTTATTACCTTGAGTGTTACAAAGAGAAGGGTTGAGCTTTTGCCCGAGTTTGTAAACCAGTGAGTATGTACAGACACAGTTGTTTAATAGATAGCTTTAAATTAGGTGTGTATTCATCTGCCCTCCCCCAAACCCCACAGGAACAAAAGAAAACCACCAGATCACCAGTATCACTGAGCATTTGCAGTTTCCATGAAACTTGCCTTAGCAAGTCCAAGCAAAGACTTGTTTTTAGGTCATGTTAAAAGGGTCACTGTGGGCTTTTGGAAGGTGGTGCTTGCAGGAATTCCAATTCCAAGTGCACACAGCGCCCCAGGAATGAGCCTGGAAATGAAACCCAAGCAGAACTGTTTTGAATAGCAGTGTCCTTTTGGGGCCAAGTTTCATCTCAGGGATTTTCTGCCTGAGCTCCTCTGCCTTGGATGGAAGGCCTGGGAAAAGGCATTTCCTTTCCTGGGAAGCCTGGGGAGCCATTGGGGCACTGCCAGGGTGAAGTGGGGAGGGGGGATTTAAGAGTTGCTGGTTTTGGACAGCCTTTGGATGGCCTCGGGTTGAGGGTGGGGAATTTCTGAGGGCCCCTGTCCCAGCAGCAGCCAGAGGGGCAAGAACCAGCACAAGGGCTGGGGGAAACCTGGGACAGCCCTCAGGCTGAAGTTTAGCGTAGACATGTTGTGATAAAAGCCTGGGTAAACTCTGGGCCCTGAGGCACCAGCTGCTCCTCCTGCATGAGCTGGAGAGTGAAGCTTTGTTGTACAAAGGACAGACAGGAGATGCTTAAGGGAGACAGAACACTGGAAGAAAGACATCACTGAAGCCCTGGAGGGACCCAAGAGCTGGATCAGAGAAGGCAGCTGGATCAGGGAAGGCTACCTGCACATCAGGAAGGCACTGATGCACAGAACTCTTGCTGGTAAATGGTCTCTTAGGCAGCAGCACAACCCCCCAGTGTGTTTTTCAAAGCATACAAGTCTTTCAGAACAGCTGATAGAGCAGTAAATATTTTTCTAATGGTTTTCCAAAAGTCACTTCCATATTGCTGCCAAGGCCAGGGGTCTTTCCCACTGGATGCCCAAAGGTCCTGAGGGGGCTGCAGAGGTTTTAGGTGCCTTTCACTGGTGTTCATCCCGTGGCCACATTAGAGAGAGACAATACCAGGAGACTGAGCCCACTGGGGACTCCTGGGACACTCCACTTCCTTGAGTTGGGCAGAGGCTGCTCCAGGGCATTCTGGAAAGAAAAGGATTCCTACTGCCTGGAACTTCTTAGGGGAGAGAAAAAAAAAAAAAAAAAAAAGGAAAACACCCCAATTTGATCCCTTTTTCTAGAGTCCATTTTGCACAGAGAGAGAAAAGGCTGCCTGAGTTCTGAGCAGCACTAAGGTGATGAGCTGTACAGCAGAGGCAGGAATGCAGTCCTGGGAACTCCCCCATCCCTTCAAGACTTTGTACATCGGAACGTTTCCCTTCTCTTCAATGTCTTGGTCGTTTCTATCCAGATTCCTCTTTTTAATCCTGCAGCTGCCAGCAGGCATCACCACCTTGAACAGCCACACCCATCAGAAATGCCACTACTGACATCAGAAATGCCCCTACACAGACCACAGATGGCACTGCCACACACGGTGGGGAAAGGAAGGGAGCGTGGGCTGATCAATCCCAGAGTGGGAGGCAAACGAGAGCAGAAGCAGGACACTGCTATTTAAAATAATTCCATGGGGTATCTGCAGCCCACAAATGGAAAACCCTCGAGCAGCTGCTCAGAGAAGTTGGCAAATGTGAGCATTTTTTTTTTATTATTATTTTTTTTTTTATACTGCATATCTAAAGCCCAGCAGGTGAGCAGGCCAACAACAACACTGCACCAAATGATATGTTTGCCCTCCTGGGGTGCATTAGATGGTTTACAGTACAAACAAAGCCACAGTACAGAGAGAGGCAGGATTAACCGTTATCCACACATAGGCAGTGCAGGAAAAAGGGATGCACGTTCCTTTTATTCCAGTACCTTTGTATAATAAAGTTAACAAAAATATTCAAATATTAAAAAAAAAGAAAGAAAACAAACAAACAAGAAAAGGAAAACAAAACAAAACCCAAGCCAGCTGGCACTGCCAACTAATTCCTGTAGTAGTCTCAGAAACCCTAATCCTGTAGGATTTCCGTGTGAAGTCGATGTGCACCAGAGTCAATGTGCTGATAACAACGCCAAGCGGGTCTGGTGATGCACTACCTGAGGTTTGTGGTTTCAGTTCCCTCTGGGGCTTTCGGGTCCTGCCTCACAACTTCCCAGCTTTCATGTAGGAAGGGATGGAGCCACGCTGAGTGAGCCCTTCAAACCTCTTGTAGGTGTAGTTGAGGAAAACCCAGTCTTTGGATTTGTAGTCAGGCTCCGTCGTGTTTGGCACTGCAATTCACCGGCAAAAGCAAACACGTGGGGGGAAAAGAAACAACAAACAGTTAAAACCAGTGGTGCCTCTAGGAGGACTTTCCACAGATATAAACAGCCCTGAACTCTTTACTTCCCTCCCCAGCAGAAATTCCTGGAAGAAATCCTGTGTTTAATCAGGTCAGTTGCCTTTTGTCAGTGGTCTGAGAAGTGGTCTCAGAAGAAAACTCTGCTTTGAGTTTTCTGAGCATTCTGAGTTTTCAACTTCAGAATAGAACTCTGAAGTTGAAAAAGGGGGTTCTTTTGTTTGTTTGGGGTTTTTTTTATTGTATCTACACACTGCACCAGGCTGCCAGACCTTGAGAGGAACCTCTCACACACCCACAGGAGACAGGATTACAAAACCCATCACATTTACGATGCTCTGAGCGCAACAAACACATTTACACACCACAGACGAGACACAGCCAAGTTCTCCCAAGAGAATATTAAATCTCCAAGGACTTCTCTGCTTAAAGCTTCAGCAAGGCTTGCACAGCCTCATTTCTGTGCAGGCTGCCATCCTGCACGCTGACAGTCACTGGGCTTTGCATTTACCTCTCTGGCTGCTGCTTTTATACCTTTGTAACAATATTTCCAAGTCTGTATTTAGGGATCCACAACTACAAAATCACTTCCAGTGAGTCTGAAGTGCCAAAACAACACAAGTGCTCCTGACATTACCCAAATATGGACTTAAACAGCTTTACTGAGGCATTGGAGATGAGTTGTTTTGCATTTAAAGGAGATTTTAATGCAAAGCCATCAAGGACAAACTTCCCCCCCCCCCAAAAAAAAAAAAAAAAAAAACAACAAACCAAAACCACCCAAACCCAGCTTTTGTATAATTCTTATGGATTATGTTTTACCAAAATCTGCAGGACAGGAAACTGTACTGCTTTTTGTGCTCACTGTCTGTGCCAACTGTTTTTACCAACTGACTGAGCTCTGAAATTTCCTGGGCTTCTTTTGTTTTCTACTCCAAAGTCCTAAGGAAGGAGAAGCTCTAAAGAGATCCCAGGTTTACAGTTATATTTCAAAGGAAGTCTCTAGATGGGGCCTGAGTGTGAGGGCATCAGAAAAATGAATGCAAACAGCAAGCAAAGCTCCTGGGGAGAACTTTTTTTCTGGCACGTTCCAGATGGAAACGTGGCAGTTCCAGCGACAGTCTCACCTGGCTGTAAAATATCGGACTCGGGGAATTCATCGAAGTTGGAAGTGTCATCAATGCTCTTGATTTCTATGGGGATTGCAGCTGGCCTTTCCCTGCAAGCAGAAATAGATGCCAGCACGGTGAAGAGCAGGAAAAGACACCCAGCTGCAGTTGTGTTTAACTGGGGTTTTACTCCCCTTTCATTGGGGTTCCCCTGGGCCCAGCAAGGTGTGGCCGACTCACCTGTTTCTGCCATTCTCTGCTTCCCTATCTAGCACTGGGATCTTCCTGGCAGGCTTGGGGAAAACATCATTTTCCCATTAACTGGAAGAGCATTCCAGGCTTATCTGGCTCCCAGCTATCGCTGCCATCACAGGCCCAGCCCACCCAGCCCAGCAGGATTTCACTTGCACTTGGAGCCATCAGATGTGCTGCTTTCCAATCCCAGTGCTCATCCAAGCACCTTCCCACTGCAGCTCCTGCTCCTGCCACTCTCGCCAGCATCTCCCATCCCGAACAGGTTGGCTCTGACACCTTCCTGCTTCAGCAGCTCCACAATCAGGGAGCCCTGGAAAGACTTTGAAGGTGCTTTGGAAACTGCCCACGGGACCTGTCCCACAAAAACCTTCCCACTGGGCCCTGTGGGAAAGGCAGGCATTTCCAGCTGGGAACTCAGGCAGTTGTGATTGTTACAGTTACAATTAAACAACCTGAGGCACCTCTGATCAGATCCACGAGTTCTGCAAGGCCCGAACACCTTCGCTGTCACCCACCCACTGCCTGCAGCTGCCTTTCAAAATCAAAGATAAACTGGAGATAATCACCCTTGACATCACAGGACGTGAAATTCTTGCTTTCCTGGCTTTTATTCTCTCTCCAAGATGTGTGTGTGTATTACCTGATATGTCCCCAGTCTACTCCTTCAAAAAAGGGATGACTTTTTATTTCCTCTACTCCATTGCTCCCGATTCTGTTTTCCGAGTCGGTACAAAACCTGAAAAAGGGAAAAAAAAATAAAGGGAATGTTACAATAAATACAACCAGGAGCAACAGCATCCTGCAGCAAGAGTTTCAGGAGGTTCTTTCAGGAAGTTGCATCCAGGAGAGATGAGAAATAGAGGCAGAATATTGTGAGTCCCAAAAGAGAAAGTTCCAATGTCGACAACTTCCACCTTTTCTGAACCTTTGCATCCCAACTTTGGAGGTTTGTGAAAAGCTGCTGCCTGTTCCAGCCCTGTAAGATTAGTCTGGAATGGAGGCTTAAATCCCTACTGCCAGGAGAGGGTGAGAATTCCAACGCTTCACCCAGCTGTCCTTTGCATGTGCTACAGTTTTTTTTGCACTGCCCTTTGCAGACCCTTCGAGGGGGGCAAAAGGTGTCACAGTGACACAAAAAGGGAGCTCTGCAACATGGTGTGACCCCCACAAACAGAAAACCTTGGGCTTGCCAAGCTTGGAGTCCTCTGGAGACCTCTTGGAAACGGGAAACCCTTGGCAGCACAGGCAGGGTGGTTTTGACCTCATTTTAGTAGATTATCTCCAACTAAAGATGTTTGACCCTGATTTAAATCTTGCCATGTGTGGAAGCAAACTAATAAATGCCAGTAGTCGTTGCATGAGCAAATTCATGAGCAAGACATGCCAAAAAAAAATACACTGAAATAATTAAAAACCCCCCAAGCACAGCCAGGGTTGAGGAGGAAGAATTCCCTGGCAAAGAACTCGGGATGCTGACAACATGCAGGAAGGCTGAGCAGAGCACTGGAGAAATAGAGACTGAAAAAGCAATAAAACTCTTTTACACAATGATTTGAGCTGTTGGTACCACTGTAGCTGGATTCAGGATCACTGGTTTATTAGTTACGCTTTTGTTTGTGCTGCTGAAGCATTGATTGAACAATAAATAACAAATTCTAGTTTTGTGAAGTACATTCCCCCTTTCTGCCTGCAACAAAACTGTGGAAGTTTCTAATATTAACTTGGAAAAGGAAAAAAGAAAAAAAAAGAGCAAAAAATACCAGAGCCAAAACCCACATCCCCTCCCTAACACCTCAAAGCCTCCCAGGACAAGAGAGCATTTCTCTGCCTGACCCTGTCACTGAACCCCTCACAAAAACGTCCAAGCAAACTGATTAAAATGGATTAAAATCTGGAATTCTGGAACAAGTGCACAAATCCAAAGCATCCAAAGGTTTCTGCTCAGTGCACGCAGTGGTGGTGAGCAGTCATTTCTTAGTCTCCTCTGGGAAGAGAAAAGGTGTGTGCTAATCCCCTTTTTTCTCCTTTTTTCCCTGCCTGCTCTGTTTCTCCTGATACCATGGTACAAATCAAGATGATTCCAGGTTATTCCTTCATGTGAAACCCATGGCAAAGGGGGGGAAAATAAAATAATCCATCAAGGATGGTGACACAGAAGAAACCAACTGTCCCTCCAACATGAAACTTCCTTCCTGCAGAACAGGAACTGAACCTGGAAGGTGCCCCTGGCTGAGCAAGTGGGGCTTTTCTTACTGACCTCAGGATTAGATCCTTGGCTTTGTCCGAAATGGGCACCTCTGGAGGAAATACCAACGTCTCTTTCCAGTTCATGACTTTCCTGTAAGTCTCCTGAGGGGTTTCTGAGCAGAAAGGTGGATACCCTGCACAAATAAAGAAGAAATGAAGGAGCTTTTCCCAGGAGAGCCAAGTGACCCAAATCTCACGAGCCCCAAAAGCTTCCTCTTCTGAATCAGTGGAAAAATGTTACCTTTGAACAGTTTTTTTCCAAGTTCTTTAACTTACCTATTAGCATTTCATACATGATCACTCCCAAAGACCACCAGTCACACAGCTTGTTGTAGCCAGTCTGCATGAACACCTCTGGTGCAATGTAGTCTGGGGTTCCAACAGTGGAATAGGCCTGAGGAGAACAAAACAACAAAAAATGGAATAAACTCTTTAAAAGATCAGTATTACAGTTTTACACCTTGCAAAACCTTTTCCTGGGCATTCACGTGTCTTTGGGCAAGAATGAATATGAGAATTTAGAGTAAAATCTCAATATTGAAAGAGTAAACATGGAGAGCCTTGAAAGTAAATGAGAATCATGCTCCTAAATGTGCTGAAACCATGGAATATTCCCACTGCAATAGGAGAAGGACATGTCAGCAGAGTTTCAGGCAGCTCTGCATTTTACTGAACAGACCTGGGACATTTAGAGTTGAACCAATGGAAAACCAAAAAGAGGGCTCCTTTCCCAAAATGTTGAGGCAAGTTGATTTTGGCCTTTTCTTCTCTCTGTTGGACTGGTCTCCCCACCCTCCCCAGCTCTGCCACATCTGTCTTGACTGACCTGGAGATGCAGTTTTTTCAGGGCTCTGATTCCAAGCAGGAATAGAGCCCCTGTGGGATTGCATGTCTTGTGAGGGAAGAAGAGACAACCCCAAAAAGCTCATTGGGAAGAGAGCACTTCTTAAAAGGAGTGTGCAAACTAAAAAGTCCCAAAATGGGAAAATTGAAGGTGTTTTTTTTTTTGCACCTGCTGCTTAGGGAAAATCACAGATAGGAATGAAACTCTGCAATCCCAGACACAGAACACTTCCCTTTGGTTCAGTGAATGCCAAAGCTCCCTTTATTATGTGACCACTCTTCATTATAAAGCTGCTGCCAACACTCCAGTGCCAACACGCTCCCAAAACTTTACTTAATGATTTATGTTTTGAGGGTTTGGGGCAAAAAAACCCCCAAATATTAGTTAATGAACTCACCAGCTGTCGCCTGTTCTTCTTCCATGTTTCTGCTTTCCTCTTGGAGTTCATATTCTGAAATGCTAATTTGCAAAACAGTTATTAGATAATAAGTGAATTTGTGAGAATTAAGAGAAAAAAGATGGGTAAGATTTCGTTCTTAAAGGATAACTTTTGTATCTTTAGAGTCCTTTAGTCTGGAAACAAATATTCAGTGGTCACTGAAACAAGGGGGAAATTGGAATAACTACTGCCCAGTTCACACTCATGTAAGTAGGACACATTATCAGCAACTCTAAATTAGAACTTGCTAAAAGTTTTAGAGATTGATCCCAGATCAGCTTCTGAGAAGCTTCATGAGATTGTCACTGACTGCAGTTCTTTGGCACGAGGATCCCCTGCCCCTCCTGACAGCATTTCTGTAACTTCACTAACATTAAATTATTGTAATTACAGACACACCACATGAAGGATTCATATCTAATGTGCAGAAACAGGGGGACACCACAGAAATCCTCATTTCTTTCCTGTCCCAGGGAACGAGCTTTTCCAGTTTTCCAAGGAAAGGCCAAGCCAGCCTGCCCAGTCTTGCAGAAACCCATGTGCCATGTGCAGCTGCAGTTCCCAACTATTTACATGCTGAACTGGGGCAGCTCATACTCACAGAAGTCACTTGGTGGGTTGTGTGTGAGGTTCCTGTAGAACTCTGTCCTGTGAGCTTTCTTTAGGCCTGTGCAGAGCCCAAAATCAGACAGCTTTACATGACCCTAAAAAAAAAAAGGATAAATAATCAGAGAATGTGAAAACATTCTTGAGAAAGGCAGTGCTTGGGAAAAAAAAAAAAAAAAAGGTTTTAATAACTGCACAAACTTTCACAGGACAAGCAGGCAAATAAAGGCTGAACCTTGGGGTACTGGCAGAGTGGGGGTTCTCTCCAACAGGTTATTTTTCCCCTCAAAATGGTCATATCTACAATTTTGCAATAGCTTTGCCTGGTTTTGTTTTGAACTGGATATCCCTGTGACTGAGAAAAGGCTCCAGGACAAAATTCCTTTGGCCTTGTTTTGCTTTAATCAGGTTTCCAGACATCAGTGCTGGCTGGAACCCCTCAAAGCTGACAGTCTTGTGTGGGTTGTGGTGATGGTTGGGCTGGATGGTCTCAGAGCTCTTTTCCAACCTCAGCAATCCTGTGGTGATTAACTGGGCTCACTTTATGGTCAGTCAGAGTGTTGTGAAGGGGAATATGAGCATCTGGACACCACAAGTGGGGGGGTTTCTCCCTTAAAAGCCTTGCTCTGTAAGGCTTCCCAACAAAACCCCAGGGGGTTCTGGCTTCGTTTAAGCACACAGGGCAAGTGCAGTGCCCATTTCGTGCCAGTTGAAGTCACAGAGGTGGCACTCCAGGCTCCCACCGAGCAGCACCGTGACCTACACACCGGGATCCTGGAAGTTCACCGTGCTCAGGACATGCCTTGGCATCCAGCAGAAGGTTGTCTGGCTTAATATCCCTGTGGATAAATCCCAGCTGGTGAATGGCATCTATGGCCAGCACAGTCTCAGAGATGTAGAACTGGGTCTCCTCCTCTGACAAGGTGTCTTTCTTCATCAGCAAGGTCATCATGTCACCTGAGCAGAGAGAGGGAAAACCCAGCTCAGAACCAGAACATTCCAATCACCAGACTCCGAGAAACCCCAGCAGAATCCAAATTTAACCTTGGAACTGGCCCTACAGCTACTAATTATAAAACTGTGACTGCAAAGACCTACAAACCCAATTGACTTTTTCAGGAAAAGGGATGTGAAGCTGCTGAAAGTCCCAAACAGGGATTTTAATTGGACAGCCCAGGAAAACACAGTGAATTTTCACACATGTTACACTTATTGCACAGGGGCTTTTTCCTCATTTCTTTTTACTGTTAATAACTCCAGCAGTATGGAGAATTATTTAATTTAAGTCTACTTAACCTCCCTTTATAACCTTTCCCCTTCCCCTAAAAATCAGGAATGGTCACACACCTGCAACTTCATTTAACCAAAAAGTTCAGAAGAAGTGCCTGTACACCCAAAGGCCCAGCACACAGCTCACCTCCAGGCAAGAACTCCATGATCAGGTAAAGATTCCTTTTATCCTGAAAGCTGTAGAACATTTTCACTACCCAGGCTCCATCTGCTTCAACCAAAATATCTCTTTCTGCTCGGATGTGGGCCACCTGAAATTTTGTTTTAAATTCCTGTTATTAGAGTACAATGAAATATTTCAACATAATTGTATATTCCTAGTCCTGTAAAATATTTTTCAAGATGTTTAGCAAAAAAACCCTTATTTTCATGTGCTTTTCCTACTGATTTGTCATGATTTTTTTACTAGATCCTACAAAAAGTCCCCCAGAAACCCACAGAAGTTAACTCAGTGTTGAAAATAACAGTTCACACAATTTTGCAAAAGAAATCTCTAGAAACACAACTTATCACGCTGGTTTTGTTTGTTAGAAAGAACAAAGCTGCTTGAAAAGATGGAAGTGTTTCTCTAGTGAAACACAAGGTAAATGATGGGTAAGGTTTGGACTAAAGTTAAAAAAAAGTCCCTTTTTTTTTAATCTGCCTTTTCACTTGAGAAATCCATCCTTGATTTCTTTGCTGAAGTACTTGCTGTGTCCTCACAGTGAATTTGGAGCTAAAAAAGTCAAAGCAAACCCCAAACCAACCAACCAAAAAAAGCAAAGCAAATTAAGATAACACGACAAAACCCACCTAAAAATGCAAAGCAAAGGAAAACAAAGTCAACGAAACACCTGTTGGTGTCTCACCATTAAAAGAGTTTTTACTGTGGCACAGGACCATTTCTCAAGAAACACTCCCCTTGAAATGCAGTTTTACAGGTTCACTGCTATAAGGTCCATGTTGATAAAGGGAGAAAATAAAAATAGAGTCTTTGTCACTATTCCAAAATTGGTTGTAAATCAAATATTTTTTAAATGCTGTTCCATGACCTTATTTCCTAATTTCTGCTTCTTTCATGCTGTGCTGGCAACTCCACTGTTTCAAAGATGGCAAATACCTTCTGGACAGGCTAAGTCTGGAATTTGGGGGATTTGGACACCACAAACCTGCTCCTTCTCCAGCATATCTGCCTTTCTTAGGATCTTCATTGCATAAATATGCCCCGTGTCCTTCTTCTGAACCAGGCGTACCTGTGAGGAGACACAACCCACTTTAGCCTTCCCTGCCTCAGGAACCACCTCCTGGCAGGGAATTCTCCTGGCAGGCTCCAAACTGCCAGGCACCGACCAGTTCTAATTAATTGATCACCAGACTCCTCCCGCTCGGAGAGCTGCACAAACAGCTCCCCTTCTGCAAAGGAACCCCCCACCTGGAGCTTTTCATTCTGTGATTCAAACGTTTTAGTGCCACAAACCTCCCCAAACGCTCCTCTTCCTATGACTTTCAGGGACTCAAAGTCATCCAGGCCGAGTCTGGTCCTCTTCAGCCTCAGGAACTCGGTTTCCTTGCGGGCGTGCTGGGACCTGCGCAGCTTTTTCTGAGGAGACAACGGCAATTCCTAAGTCCCTTGGCAGCAGGAACTCGAGCTATGCCATCTCCCTTCTCTCCCCGGAATCCCAGGGGGAGAGGGAAATGTAAAAAAGAGCGGTGTTCGTGGTGCTCGGGCACCTGCAGGGCCGTGCCTGGAGACGGCACCGCTTAAAGCCGCAAGGTGGCATCGCACTCCCACATTCCTTCTCCACAGGTCCCAAAAACCTCAGCGACGGCCCAGCCGCTCTTCCTGCTTACTTCCCTGCCTATCCTGAGGGCAGACTGGTGTAATGGACCTGGAAAAAACAACTTAGTGACCACAGCTCTTCGAGAGGCAACCAGAGATCCGTCCTCATCCTCATTCAAACGGAGCAAAGCTGGGCCAGTTCGTTGTCTAAATCAAGGAAAAACCTTCAGCATTTTGCTTTCTAAGCACATCCCACCTTTTTATTCCTTGCCAAATGTAATAGCAAACAATTTCAATCTTTGATAAACATGCTGTGGCCACGTGTCATGAGAACTAAGGGTGGCATGAAAAGCCTTAGCCAGCTCTTGGAGGGATGATTCAAGCACATTCCCAGATTTCCCTAACAAACAGGTGGTTTTTTTTAGAGGGGCAACACTGAATTACAAAACCAAACTTGCTGTCTTGCTGGGTGATGTTTCTGTAGGCTCCTCAAATCCTATTTTTGAAGCAGCTTTTAAGGTGATTTAAGTAGTATTTTTTACCTCCTCATCTGCAAGGCCTTCCTCCTCCATAGCCACTTCCAGCTTCTTCTGCCTGCCAGGGAGAGAAACAGGGGATGGTTTATTAAAGCCCAAACACTGCAGCAAGACAACACCTTTGCTTCACATATTCCAACCCCTGAAGAATTTGCCTCAGATAGAAATGGGAAGGCTCAGAGCCCACTCCACCCAGTTACTCATTTGTTTGTGCCCAAAAGCTGTGGAAAGCAAATTTAAGCACATACTTCTGGATTTGCAGAATTGGGCATTAAATATATAATAATCCCTCTAATGACTTACATTTCTTCACGTCTCCTGAATTAAGGCTGGTTTTATCAGTTAGGGTTACAAAGCAGAATAAAAATGGCTTTTTCACGGTTTCTGTCTCAGTTCTACCTCCAGCACCTCCAGCTTTCAGCCCCACCAGTCCAAGGCTCTGAGTGGGGAGCAGAGCCTGGCAATCCCCCCCAGCTGGCAGGGGGTCAGCACATGGCAATGTGGCTGCTGGACCCCTCTTTTTCCACCCTCAGGATGTTTCTTGCCAGCTGTCGGGGGGCAGCTTTCCGAAGGCTGGTTATCCACTGGCAGCAGCCAAGACTTGGAAGGCTGGTGGTGTCTCTCTGCACTTGGGGAAGTGCAGCAGCATCCCCCACATCAAAGGCCCTCAGCAGACAGTCTGTTCTCCCAACTGGAGTCAACTCCACTCCATGGAATAATGAGGAAATGTGATGGAGAGAAGCCCTGTTGCTTGAGTGAAAACCCCCCAGTTAAAACCAGAGGGCCAGGGAGTGATAATTTCACACTCTGGTGCCAATCTAAGACACAACCCTGAGCACAGTCACACGCCTGGGGCTCTGACACCTCGCTCGAGGGGCACTGCAGGGCCAGGACTGGCTCTCGGAGCAGCTCAGGCGGTGCTGACCAACACACTGGAACCTCCCTCGGGATGGAAGAACAAGCCCCCCCAAAAGCAGGAGGAGCTGCAGAGGGGTGGGAGGGAGCAGGGGCAGTACCTGGTCTCCCTCTCCTCGTGCTGGATGATGAGGTTGCTGTAGAAGTTCTCCAGGGTGAGTTTGGCCACTGTGACTCTCTCCCGGGTGTGGTTGCTCATGGGAAAGGATGTTGTGGTCCCTGCAGTCATCGCCATGGTAACATGTACTGGAACACAGCGTGGCAAACCATTACTCACTCCAGGAAAAAAAACCCAAACCAGCTCTCTTTCCCACTCTCCACCTCCAAATTCTTGGGTAAGCTTGTCCACAAATAAGGAAAATGTCCCTCTGGAAGATCTGAGCCCAGCCTGGGGGAAGGAAAAGGCAGCACAGCACAGAAAGGAAAAAGGGAAGGTGAGAGGAAGACCCCACAGCTGGGCATGTCACAACCCTCTGACAATTCCAGGAGCTACAAAAAGACCAGGAGAAAATGAAAAAGGAAATGGATAAAGCCCCTAATCCCAATCCAGAGGAGAAGCTGTTTCAAGGATAGAAACCAACTCCTAAATACCTTTGAATTTTAGAGTTGCTTGACAAAGTTATATGTGGATTTCTAGAAGTCATCACATCAAAACACTGGAATTGCTGTATTTCAAGTGGAAAACTTCTGTTACTGGGGTTTTTTGGGTGGTTTGGTGTTATAAATCAAGAATCAACCAGCAAGAATAGAAAAACCCTTCCCCCCCACAAGGCCATTCCTCTTGTTTCCTTTCCAGCCCACCTCTGTTCCTTACAGAGCTCCCCGTGTTTGGATTTTCCAAAAAATCAGAGGGGAGTGTCCTTAGGCAGTTGTAAATATGTTACCCACGCAGATAAAGCACTTAAGCTTCTGGCATGTGGTCACTGGGCACTTAGAAACTGGGGAGAAAGAAAGAGGAAAGAAGAAAGGCTGCTCCCCTCTGGAGCTTTCATCCTGATCCCAAAAAACTCGGCTTTTGGAAGCCAATACCCCTTGCCCTAGCCCTCCAGGCCCTTGGAAATGGTCTCTCCATCCTCCTCGTGGGCTCCCTGCTGGTTATTTACACAATCCTTCCACTTCACCAGGGGACTGGGAGGCAGCCAAAACCCAAATTAGGATTAGGATGTCCAAGCACATCCTCAGACCTTCTAAAGTGAACCAATTCCAAGTTTCACACAGAAGGAAACTCGCCCGTCCCCAGCGGGACAGGAGGATTCCTGAACTCTGCTCCATGTTGGTTTTTGGTTTGATTCTGCCTGTCACCCTCTGCAAGGACAGGATTTTACCCCCCTGGGACAACAAGATATTTGTTGCTGGAGATGCAGCTGCTGTGTCACAAACACAGGCATTTTATTATCACGGAGATGTTATTTTAGCTGTGTGTGCTGAAGACACCAGAGTTCTGAGAATAAAAATATACATCTCTCTATATAGATACAAACAGGCTTTAATGGCATTGCAGCTGCTTCAAAATGATGTCAACATTTCTATTTTTTTTATCAACCTTTTTAATCAATCTTTCATACCCTTCGGTCTTCCACTAAAGAAAGATGAGACCTGTCAATTCTTAATAGTCTTGACTAAAAAATAAAAACACAGAACCTATGCTGGATACGGCTCCAAGAGCTGGGAGAATTTTGCACTGTTCTCCCTGTTGTTTGGACAGTTTGACACTTCCTCCCCCCCCGATAGGTGAGAAAATATCAATATAAAAGAGGTGGATGAGAGCAAAGCCGACATCGTGTTGGCATACCCAGATCAAACAGAGCAAACTGTGATTAAGTTATTTCAAGAAACAACCTAATAAGGTAAAAACCAGCCTTCTGATAATTTTGGAGCATCGGGATAGAGCAGCCCGTAGCCAGGCTTGGAATGGATTAACCTTAAGGCCCAACTGGCACACTCCAGCACCGGATACTTCTCCTTTGCATGCCCCTTATTCCCAGGAGGATAAAACAACGCTGCAGTTTGATTTCCTGGTGATTTGTCTGCTCCTGCAAACACTCACAAATTCAGGCACTGCCGAGTCAAAGTCACTGGGTTTTATTTGTTTGGTTTATGTTTGAATCCTGTAGAAAAGGAGATCCCAACTGCAGCACCAGCACACCACGTTATCCACCTTGGGGCTGCCCCTCACGGGAGGAAAACACAGAGGAGTGTCCCCATTTATTTCTGCCACTGTGGAAAAATAAAATACAAGCCAAAACCACCACCACCACAACAAAACACAAACTGTGAAACCAAGAAACGTCCTAAACTCTCCAGATTCCCCAAAGTAAGAGGGAAAGAGCACAGACCTGGCAAGGTATCCCGCAAAATCCTGTGGGATTTCTCGCAGCCAAGAAAACCTCTTCAGCTTTTTCCTCCTGCCTCTCTGCTTCCACTCAGGAGCCCCCCAAAACAAGGCACAAATCCGCATCCCAAAGTGGGAGTAACCAAGCACAGCCCTTAAACACGACCTTTATAAACAAGCGATGCCAGAGGGGATGGGGGCGGGAAGGAAGAAGCTTCAAAATAGGACCTTTTATTGACTGCACAGAGCCTGGACTGACCTCACCACATTAACGGGAATGCTTGGAAAAGGTGCCACCCAGAGTTCTTGGAAATGCCCTCAAAAGCCTCCTGAGTTCACCCAAACTGATGGCACTTGCATAATGGAACCATTGCACTCCTGCTGCATCACTGGCCCACCAGCCACACTCGGCCACAACTCCTCCGGCTGACAAGGATCCCAGACCTTTCTTTCCAAAGGGCTGGGAATGTGGAGGAGAAAGACATCAAAGGGATCTAATGGGCAGGAGACACTGGGAAGGCACAGCCCTCGGGACAAGGCTGGGAGCTGCCAGGAGCAGGGATTCCATATGTGCTCCTGGTCTGGAAACACAGCCAGAGCCTCCTGCAGGGATGGCTCAACTCCCAGCCTGAGCCTTTCTCCTCGTGGCTGCAGAGAGCACCTACGGCAAGGGAATGAGGAGCTGGGGACAGGCAGCAGCCAGGGAAAGGTGGGACAGCAGCACAGAGAAGGGAGGAGAGCAAGGATGTTCCTGAAGGACAAGGGGGAGCAGGGAACAACAGCCAAATGCTACTGGAGCGCTCCAGAGACTCCTCCGAGCAAGGCTCTCCTGATCCACCACAGAACAGCCCAGTTGGAAGGGTCCTCCCATTTCTGGTAAAAGAATGTTGCCTAATTGACCTTTTTATTCCCAGACCATTCCTGAGTGGGAAGCAGAGAAAGGCCAAGCAGCATTTACTCCAGTTTCCGTCTGCACCCCTGTTTGTCACAACAGCTCCAAGTCAAACTCTCCATCCGTTTTCCCGACGGAGTCTCCACATTTAAGCCCCCCCCCCACCCCCAGACTCTGCTACACCACTGGGAGCTCAAAGCTCATGTGCTCTCTGGGGCAGCTCCCACAGCCTGTCATTAATGGTTTCCTCAGATTTCCTTGGATTAAGACTCAGGTTAATGAGAGCAAAGCCACGGAAGCTTCCAATCCCACCCGCTCCGAAGAGGAGAGATGGAAGAAATCAAAGCCCATGGAGAACTGATCTCCCCTGAAACACAGTGGGATCCCTTCCCAATCCCATGAGAAGACAGAATCCATTCTTTTTGAAGCCATGTGTGCAGTATAATTACACCACAGCCCTGGAATAAACTGACTCTGGACTCAGGGCAGATTTCAGTCTGGGACCAAACCCCACAGAGAGAAAAGCACCTTTATCCCCCCACGAAATGAGGAAGTCGCTGGCTCTCCCATTTGGATTCAAAATGGCAAGCTGCATGTCCAGCAGGACAGGGAACACCAATCCCTTCTCCAAAATAACCCCATCAACTCACAGAAGGGCTGACAAGAATTTTCATTCACCCACCCAAGCACAGCCCTAAAGCCCAGCAGTCAGGAAGCTGCTACAGTAAAAAGGGTAAAACTGCAAAGTTCATGAAGTTCCCATTTAAATTCCGAGGGAATTCGGCTCTTCAGTGAAAGCCTCTGGGTAAGGCAGGCACCAAAACATACTCCTGCCTTTGAAAACTCCCTTTTTTTTCCCAGCATGACATTGAAACTGCCCCTGAAATGAAGCACAAACGTGGTATTTCTCAAGGAATAGAAGGTGAAGCAGAAAGGAGCCAGACCAGTTCCAAAGGAAACACAGAGCTCAGGAAAGTGGTACCTTCAGAAACTCCAGTTATCACTCACTGCTCGGGCTCTTCTGGGGGAGAAGTGAGAGCTGCCTGGCTCCTTCCACACCACACAGCACAGCAGCTCCCCAGTCCAGGCACTCACCCCCACTGCTGACAAGGATTAGATTTAAGAATGGAAGTGCTGTCTAGGAAAGCAGCACGGATACAGCAAGGCTTGGAGTACGAGCACCAGCCCTGCTGTCTCCAAATTGTTTGAATTCTCTTAAAGACAGACAGGATATATATATATAAAAGTGAAAAAAAAAAAACAAACCACCAGCCCAGCACACACAAATAACAGCATGATTCACACCAAAAGGGTGGGCAGGACAGATAAATGGGATAAACAGCCCAAGGCTCAGCAGGACAACACGGTGTGACATGTTCTGAAACACAGCCCTGGGTGGTGTGAGCCCACACACAAACAGAGAGCAGGGATACAAGTGCTGGACAACAGCTGAGGGTTCCAAGGGTGAAACAGAGGGAAGAAGTGGTCACACAGTGGGATCAGCCCCAAGGGAAAATGACTTTCTGCACTCACTATCCAACTGTTTGTGCTGAACCTCCTCCTGGGGAGAATCATGGAATGGAATGGCCTGGGTTGGAAGGCACTTAAGGTTTACCTTGTTCCAACTCCCTGCCACGAGCAGAGACACCTCCCACTATCCCAGGTTGCTCAGAGCCCCATCCAACTTGACCTTGGACACTCCCAGGGATGGGGCAGCCACAGCTTCTCTGGGCAACCTGTGCCAGGGCCTCCCTACCCTCCCAGGGAAGGATTTCTCCTTGATATCCAATCTAACCCTGCTCTCTGTCAGTTTGAAGCCATTCCCCATGTCCTGGCACTCCAGGCCCTTGGAAATAGTCTCTCTCCATCTTCCTTGTGGGCTCCCTTCAGGTCCTGGAAGGCCACAGTGAGGTCACCCCAAAGCTTCTCTTCTCCAGCTGAACAATCCCAACTCTCCCAGCAGAGCTGCTCCATCCTCTGATCACCTCGGTGTCTCCTCTGGACTCTCTCCCACAGCTCCCT